TCACTCACTGAAGTCCACGTTCCAGCCTGTGGCCCCAGTCGATGGCCTGTGTCCACTCTCCCAGCCCGGCTGCGGCGTGGAACGCCCCCACCAGGATCCTGATGGTGTTCACGTTATCCTCGTGAAGGACCTTGTCAATCTCCAACAGGCAGTTCTGCCGAAACTGGAGCTCGTATTCCAAACCTGGTGTAATGGTTAAGTTGAAAACTTTGAATGGAGAAGCTATACAGTATCAGATAACACCGGTTCCGGTTTTTTAATTCTAGCCTAGTATTCACCACCTTCTATTAAACTGCGGGTCGCTCCTCTGGTAGCTCCACAGAATATTCGAGGATATCAGAGGAGCGGACTGGAGCTAGACTACCATGAATACCAGACTGCTAGTCCTACTCAAGCCGACAAACATGACTCAGTAGGATTTGACATGAAGTTACAAGGCATTCCAAAGTACGGCTTTTTTTCTTGTCCACTTTTTATCATGGAGTTCATCTGTGTTGGTAGTAATTCGTAGTAAAATGTGGAACTTTATTCCAACACAAGGATTACACGTCACGTATCCGTAAAGCCTCGTGTGAATAAGGTCACGTGTCTGTAACCGCAACTCTCGCGAGATTACGTTCTGAAGTGGTCATCATTGTCCTGATGAAGGCGACAGTGGTCGTTGAAAATTTGATCTCTTTGTAATCCTTGTGTTGGATAAAGTTCAATATTTTACTTTGTCCACTTTTTGTTAAGAAACTAGCGGTGAACCACAAAAGGATACCGTTGCACCATCTTCTCTCCTTGGTGACGACGTTGTCCGCGTACTGCACAGCCGTGTCGATCTTGTCATGAAAGTCCTCATCAAACTCGTCATGTTCGCACCGGGGACACTTCTCGTAGGTGGACTTAGATTCTGACAAAAGATTTGAAAATACTATTTAATATATATGCACATAGCGCTGTGTACCGGTCCGCTGGAACTAGTTCCGGACTTGTAAAATGTTTAGGTTCAAGTCCAAAACAAAATGAGCGTCTGGAACTAGTTCCGGACTTACAAAAAATCATGTCATATTCCCCTTTTTGTTCTAAACCACCTGAAATCTTCAATAGTCAAAAATGTGCACTGCAAAATGAAGAAAACATTGCCATTGGGCATAGTCAAGTGTTGGACTCGCTACAAAATTTTACAAGTCCGGACCTGAACGTTACCTAAACCCATGGACTTGAATCCGTACCTGGACCTGAACGTGGGTTTAGGTATACAGCACTAATTGTACACAGTGCACAAAATGGGTAGATTTCGGGACATTTTAATGTTTGTATTTTTCCATATTCATTACGTTTCCGTTGATATTCGGTCATTGACCTTTCGCGCAGCGAGTTATAAATAATCCTGAAACGGGGTCATTTATTTTGTACGAAGGGTTCATCATTTCATGATTTATTTCTGGAGTGTTTTGATAACCCGCGAATGTCAACAGAATGATTAATAAACGGATGGTCCGCAACCAGTCAAGGATGGGTACTCTCTAGTTTGTTCAGTTGCAGAACTGAGCCACATGTATAACTATAGCGTTTAGCATCCAACTGTTGCAGTCATCATGTTCAGATGTAACCATTCCTTATCAAAGGCCAGTTGACTATATAGTTACTGTTCTGTTGAAACGTCTGCATCATTTCTTGCTTTTTGAATGTAATGGTGTAATGGTGGCTTTGTATATGTTCCCACTGAATCAAAACCATTTGTACAGTGATTGAAAACTTTCATTTTTCAAAGTTGTTTCAGTGAGAAATGGATGTTGTAATAGTTGGCAGTAAACTTAGCGCAATCATTTCGGTTTATGGTATCAAAATTTGAAAATGTAGGAATGTTGTTTTTTGGCTCGACTTGTTTTTTTCGCCCTATTGCATTAGATTTGGAGACTGTGGTGGATGTTATCCATAAAATTTACTTGCTGCGGCCTGATACGTTTATCCATTTGTACCCAATAGATAGTGTGGCACCTCTGTAGAATTTTAGTGTCTATATGACTCATATGAAACTATGTGTACTGCGCTTAGCCCTCATGGGCATGAATGTGCAAATAAACATCATTGTCATTGCCATTGTCATTGTTATTGTCATTGTAAAACGATTCATTGTTATTTTCATTGTAAAATGAGTGCAACTTGAGTGAACATATAAGTACGAAAATACCGAAGTGGCACACCTGGGTTAGGTAGCACTGGCCCTTCGCAGTTGGGGCACTTCACGGTTCTCATTCTTAAGTCCTTTGGCAGAAGGAACACACAACGTTACCGCAATCTCAGAACCAGGGATCAGCAGCTTGTCAATACGAATATTCATCATCCAACAGAGGAAAGCGCCTCTACAGGAATGCGACATCAACAAACAAACAAACAAACAAACAGGATAAACAGCGTGATTGGATCAGACGAAATCTGATGAAGACATACCCTGTCGATATTGAGACAATCGTCACACTGACAAAGAAAGAAGTACTTCTCCATCAGGTCGTCTCTCCTGCGGTCTGTTGTCGCACCTTTCTGAACATAGGCATGGAATACCTGCGTAGCGAGACTGTCATTTTAGAACATCCAAACTATAACGTTAGCTGGGATAACAAAAGACACTGGGATGGACAACTAAAGAAATCTTCATTTGACCACAGAGTCACATGTACGGTGGCACAGATGTGGAAGTTCTTGGAAACAAATCATAGTGCCACGTGTTACATCAAGTCAAACTCGACAATGATGTTAATTTGCACTTGAAAACGTTTGTTGACAACATTTTATATATATTGTATGTAATTGTTTATTAACTATTTCAAATTGCTTAAATGACGTTTTGTACTGTTTATGTGATGTTCCGATATCATTTCAGCCTTCGGGCTGCCATCTTAGGGACAGTGTTGTTGTTAATGCAAATAAACCATTGAAAAAAATGAAGAAATGTCGCAGTTCGTTTGTTAACGTTACTGAAACAAAACGTACCTCTTCCCCGGGTCCGATGTGTGTAAATGTTCGAACCTCCATGTTGGGTCCCTGGAAAGTAGCGATGGTGTTGGACCTGCAGCTGTGGTTGAGCATGGCTGCCCTGGTAGGGAACAATTAAGAGGTGTACAACAACGCACGGCGCGGCATTTCATTCCAAAAATCTTACAATACAAACATGAAGGAAATAAAAGGATGAATACACACAATCTCAGTCATAACCAGTCTTTCCGTCACCAAGATATCGATAACTTAGATTTGTAACGTTTGAAGCAGACATGAAAGTGAGAGAAATGGACAATGATACAATAGCCTGGACCAACAGTCCTCGCGGTAAGGGTATATCTATATGCAGTTCTTAATTAACACTTTTACGGACACGAAAACGCGGAACTGCGGTATTTAAAATCTACCATTTAGTCTGTATACTTACTGTGGGTAGACGCCCACTGCAATGTCCTTGAGTTCAGAATTGCTGATTCCGAAACAGTTGCAGGTGACCTATAGTAAGAGAAAACGTTTTCAAATCATCGAAAACTACCAAGTTGCAGCTTGAATAACATGATGCATCCAGTCTGTAACATAGGGAACAGAATAAGCAGAACTCTACTTGTCCAACGCACGTACGTGGTTGTAACGTTAGTTCTAGATCTCAAATAGTGGGGGAAAGTCGTCCAAAGACATTAGTGGGGTCGTGTGGCGTAGTGGCAGAGTGCTCAACTCAGAACCAAGAGGTTCCGGGTTCGAGTCCTACCATGCCACCGATCATGTGCCCTTAGGAAAGGCACTTTGCACGATTTTCCTCACTTAACTCAAGTGAAAATGAGTATTGTCCTGTCTGTATTTGTCCTCCGCGTTGGTGGCGGCATAAAATAAGTTGAAAAAGCTTGAGAGTACTGTCACCATGTTTAGTCATGAAATGTTGGAATAAAAAAAAAACAGTGACATCAATAGCTAGCCGTGAAAACATGAAGACAGTCTGAACACGGTCTTTTGAACAGCGCCTGTGCTGGAATCATTGTGGCAAAGGCGTGTTCAGTGCTCTAGGTAGGCCTTACCTTACCAAAGAGCCGTTGAAAATACGCCCAATTTGGTATGACGTCCTTGTCCACCATACGGGCAAGATATCCCAGCTGCGAATCCATGCCAAAACTTCCTGTCAGGTCTTCCATGTCTGTAATAGAATAAAAGATTTTCATGATCAATCAATAAATACATCAATGGACAACTACAATGTTTACCAGAAGATCCTGTGTAGGTGTGCATGGCATTGCCAATATCAAGTGTAAGAGAGAAATGAACCAGAAATAGCTCAAAGAATTTGAAAGGGATAAAGAGGACACAAAACAAGGCTAGATTAGGGTAGAAAGGCTTGATAAACCATATAACAAATGGTTCTCAATAGACTCACGTGAACATAGATCGTTCAAGGGGTCCAACGGTCCCGTTTCCAACTTTCGCACGTGCTATAAAAACAGATTATTATATCGTACACATGAAAAAAAAAGATTAACCTAAATGCCGACGAATAATTCTTTAAGTCCATTGCCAACTTATGGCCCTTCCAGTAACTATTTTCCGTCAGAATGTTGGGTATTTTTGCTCCAAGAGGGTAAATATACATTGGGATAGTGTGGTTTTAACTCTGTATGTCGATAAATGACAAGAATATTAACTTTGAAAAATCGGGTTTCCAAGCCCAAAACTGCATGCATTTAAGCTGCATTATGTAGTTTTTTTGCGCAAAAATTCAAATATTCTGAATCTAACAAATCTTGGTTTTATCATCATTTACTATCACTTTTCAACACATTTGCGTCTTTATATTACGTTTCTGGCGTATTTTGTTAGCGCAAAAACAGTCCGCTCGATGTGCGCTCAGTTCCCGGTGGCACCGAGTTGATGCCACCACTGGAACCAAAACAAACAACGGTTTTCGGTCGGGAATCTTCGGTAAGTTCCGTTTTTTCGACTGCGTGACGTCATGACTAGCTCGCCCTCTCAAACAAAATGGCGGGAATGGAGGGCGCTCGGGATCGGGTGAACCGTGGAGTTAGAAGAAGTTTGCTGACAAGTTCCGCCAGGAAAAGAAAGGAGAAGGACAAGTTCCAAAAGCAGGTGTTGTTGGGCGATATGTTTGTGGACTGGCGGGACCTGAAATCTGCGCTCGGCCTGAAGACAGACTGTGATTTGGCCCGTCTTCTCATCAACAGGTTTGGGGTTCGTATTTTATACAGACGTGTTTACTTGTGTGTATTCTTTCCATTCTCTCCGCGAGTTACCCTATTTTGATCCAACGAATCGTTTATTGGATAAAGAAATAAAATAAGATTAAGTCAGTCTGTTCACCTGTCTGTAGATGATCCGTCCTATGAGCCTGAGATGGAAAGGCAGTAACATCAGCTGTCGGTACCCCCGGCACTCACACCTGTGATCCAGCTCGGCGTTTTTCTGAAGGAGATGTAGGATGTATACGCTATTTTGGGTACTCTGTACTACACGAAGAACCGGCCATCATACTACACAAATGTCCTGGATATTGTCAACTATTTTGGGTGGTATAGGGGTTGCGGTAAAGGAAGGCAGACAGGCAATAGGCATCTGACACTACCAAAGACAGTACGTGGAAATTTTCTTTGTCATTAAATCTCGTTTAGTGTACGGCAGTGACGGTCAAACAAAAAAAAAGGTACAAACGAGGTTAACGTTCTACCTGACATTGCTCGTTACAGTATCTGGCAGTGGCGCAGCCTGGACAAACCAGCAGCTTTTGGTCTTTCCTGGTAAAGATAGAGGGGAGAGAAGATCTCATCAAGTATTTTTTTTACCTTTGCTCTAGAGGTTTTGCTCTAGAGATACGGTTTTCATACTTTGGACAACTTATTTTATTTGTAGAAAAGATCATCGACTCGCATAATTTATGCAAATGAAGACAATACTTTCATAATAATAAATTAATGAGAAACCTTAATAATTTGTCACTGTATTAAGGTCGCGGAACTCTAGTTACACGAGATATAAAAATATAAAGGATAAAGGATATGGTATTCACATCAGAATATAAGTACACATCAAGCAAGGACCTTGAGTTTATTGTAGGATGTAGATAGTTGACTCCACTTCGCTTCGTTTACGAAATATTATAGCCATCTCACAGCCCCATGTGATAGAGGTCATAGCCGATCGTGAGGAAGGCCAGTAATATCTGACCTAATCACGATATTATCACGTGTGGAAGAAGACATGAAATCGCACCCCACGTATCCGATTCTAGGTGGTAACTAGGTGGCATGCTAGACATCTACCAACTGATTTACGTCTAGACTATATATAACAAAGAATAATCTTGAACCACGTCATGTTGCTGGGCCTTGTCCAGATTAAGGACACCTAAATACATATTTGTACATTTCATTGCAGTTTATCTTTATATATAGATGTAACGCTACGTACTATTAATCATAGTTAGACTGAGTATCATACTAAACGCAGTTATTTGCCTTAGGTCAACCAAAACTAACACGAAAATTAAAACAATATATACAATGACAATCATTGAGGAGCATCTGTATGTATGAACAAGTGATGTGTGCACCATAGCTGTGGTTGATCTCCATGGTTTTCTGGTCCTAATGTTGTCCCTTGCCCAGAATGACAGGTCACAGGAAATATGTTTAGCATGGCTGATAAATTTATCTCAAGGTTATTTTTTTCTATTTCAAGGCCAAATGCATGTTCAAACTGAAGATTGTGATTTTGTTGGCAATATATTCCAGTACAACCATTGACAACGTAAGTTCATGATACTTGTGCCTGTTTAACACAGCAAATATATTTTTAGGATGGCTTACAAATTTCTGAGGTTATTGCTATTTCAAGGCCAGATTCATGTTCAAACTGAGATTGTGATTTTGGAGGTAATATTCCAGTACAACCACTAGTGACAACGTAAGTTCCTGATACTTGTGCCTGATATTTGTATTACTTGGCGTCCCCCAAGCGCTTAAATACCACGCTACTTTACGGCTAAGGAGAGGGCCAACTGCCGTGAGAGGGATTGCCTGTACTCCCAACAGACTTTCAAAAACGCCTTGAATTTGCCTTTGCCAACCTCATGATCCGGTAGTGACTGTGATCTACATTTCATCAGTCTGTCTTATCGCTGATGGTCCAAATATGGAGAGGGAGTATCATACATACACACACACACACATACACATACAGACTTCTGGCTAGAGCTAATGTGATTGTTTTGACCAGGAGCCCGGATTATACGTATAACCTGGATACATGTACAGAAGGTTTGGTGTAAGGTGCTGTCCCCAGAGAGTCTGTTGTTCTGGCCCTATCTCATTCTGTGCCAGTCTGTTTGGCATCTCTCCCAATGGTAGATTATATGTAAGCTGGCTCTATCCCGGGTCACATCGTTCTTATGGATTAAAATGTAGATATTTTATTTCTTCCTCCTCATCTCTCGTAACAACTTAATACATCGGTATTGTCTCTATGACATATTCAGAAATCATCAGTAGCATCTGAAATCGTACAATACAGAAGATCATCAGCTGGCTTGTAAGAAAATAACAGCCATGCTTGTAATGTATCATATGTTTACGCTCATTGATATGTACCTACCGCTGGTAGTTCACGTTGATTTACACAACATCACATAGACCCTACATCTACGTTATCTCAATCTAGATTTCAGGAATGTTAAAACCCGGAATAAATAGAGTTCAGCTACTAGCTGACTGAGGGGTTGTGCAGGCCTCCGAGCACGTACCTTTCCTCGGCCAGGCAGTAGTGGCAATGGTTCTCCTCCTCACCATTCAGCAGGGCGTAACAGTACGGGCGCTCGGTGATGATCAGCGTTCCCGGCTCCAGCCCTTTGCCGAACCTGGACGTCCTCAGACCCCTCCCCTTCCCGGGCTCCAGGAAAATCTCGACCTGGTACCGGCCCATCGTGGCGCCGTGTACGCCGGGCACCCGTCCGGTACGCTCCGAGCTGCAGCCCGACCGAGGGCGAGGGTCCGCTGTGTGTTGCCTGGGATGGCCCCACAGAGATGCCCCGGTCACCTGATACTATAGGAACGCACGAGCCGGGGAATATCTGCCGGCTTCATGGCACTATATAAAAGCGCAATCAGTGGGAAACAATGCATGGTATGTCATTACCACATAAAAACAATGTATTTCATTACTTCATTATAATTATTAAGATGGGGCTCTGAGAAAAACGCACAGTGTATGTTCGTTACGTTCACCATTTATTTTTGGTCAAAATCTTTACTTTGTTTTTAGGTCCCGAACCAACTTTACCTTCAATGTTCCTATCACGCCTACAAGAGCAGTATTGTACAGGGGCTTTCCATACAAAACAAGTGTCAGTATCATTCGTCTACACTACTTCCGAATCACCAAGGCAAGGCTTTACAGACTTGACTGAAAGAATAACTTTTACATTTCAACCCAGATTACGAAGTACCCATAAATCGAAGGCAGTAACAGTAACTGTAGTGGAATAGAATGTATATATAGCTGGTTGGGTCAAATACGTCTCGAGATCTACGCCTATCAATAGATAGAATGTATCCTGAAAGTATAAACGTGGGTTGATATCAATGTTTTGATACCAAATGATACTTCCGTGAGTCAACTTCATGCGTTTTTCTTCTCGGGTATCAGGGTGGGTATCTGGGTGGGTATCTGGGTGGGTATCGGGGTGGGTATCGGGGTGGGTGGTACCCTGGATGCCAGACTAGTATCGGGCCGCTAACCCTTTTCCTTCGGCAGCCAGGAGCCCTTCGCCCATGTCGCCCGCCAGTCTAAATTACCGCTACGGGGAGTTGAGACCGAGGGGAATTTGGCTCTCACAGTTAGACTCCCCGTAGTGGGAATTTAGACAGGCGGGCGATGGGCTCTTGGCTGCCGAAGGGAACAGCTAGCGGCCCGTAACAAGTTTGTCACCCAGGGTTGGTGGGTGGGGGATAGGGATGTGAGAAGGCTGGTGGATCTGAAGCGTAATTTTAGTTCCGCGGAATGCCAGGCTCGCTCTTAAGCTCGATGACAGAAAGCGTCGACAGGAATGGGCTTAATCAGGATAAATTGATACGACACTCCCACGTGGGCGCGCCGTGCACAGAACGGGCACAGGTCCAGTCCCTAGGCGGGGTGAGCCAGCAGGATTACATAACGCTTGGCTCAGGGATAACAAAATAAATTTGAAGTGTCTTGACAAAAAGGACTAAACGTTCTTGCCAACACTGAGTAAATCAGTGGGACTTACCCAAATTTAAAGTGTCGTTTTGGCCTTTGTCACTTGCACGGTCGTGTATATTATATTATTATCGTCACACAAACTCATTTTTCCAAGATAATTCGTAGCGGGACAAGTCTCTATTAAGCTTAGTAATTTAGCCATGAATGCGTTGCTGATTAAATATTGGCGTCCTGCTGCCGACCACAATACACCAGAAATATCACTGTTTATTATTTCGGCACAAGTTTAACTATCAAATTTTTAAACAGGATGACGAATTTTGTTTACGATCGCATGGCGTAGCTACAAGTTGTATACACAGACTTCGAATTCAGTAAAAACACCACAAATCGCATTGGAAACATTCGCAAAGCATACTAAAAGTAAACAAGATTAACATATTCAAGTGCGGGTTCCCCCAAAAGGGCGACGATCAGAACTCTGATCTGACCATTGGGTTGAAACTCATCTCTTGGCATGGAAGCTGAAGAAAGATTGTATCTGTATATATATAACCGCCCTTCGGCGTAACACACCAGCTTCGCAGGCACGCGGCGCGGTGGCAGCTAGCTATATCACACCGAACGACTTGTTACACTCAATATTTGCAGGAGTTGTTTAAAGCTTTCTAGTGATGATGCCCCAACTGTGCTTGGTGGCAACGAGTTCCAAGCACAGATTGACATGCCATGCAGCATCACACAACAGTGGGTACACATTCTACGTAAAAAAAGTGACTCGGGCTGCCGTCATCAACTGATCGCTACAATACGGCAGTTGCACTGTTACTTTTACCATGGAGTTAAAACAACAGTGATCATATGTTGCAAAGAGTTGTAATGATTATAAAAGGGCCTGAGATGTGACCACGTACAGATTAATGCAGTCGGTCACTACAGATCATGACCTCGCACACAACAGACAATAAAACATCCCCTGACATGTTGCGGTGTTCTAACTACAATTTTAGTCCCTCTCACAAGCTAAACAGATCCTGGGAACGATCTAGTACCTTTCCTGGTACCCATGGAGCTAGGTCAAGCCAAGGATGTTTGATATAAACACTAGTATAAAGCCTGTGGTGCAAAATGTCGCAATGTTTGTGCAAGAATTGAGTGTCCATATTTGGAAGAGACCTGTCCGATAACATTATGGGTATGTGGAGAACGATGCCCCCCAATGTGGAATGGAATACAAATCCCGCCAACTTGTCTGGCTAATTGGTTTGACCCAGTTTAATACCGTGAGGTTTGGCCCAGTCAGTGTGTTGAGTTTATCTGGAGTATGTAATGTGACAATTGTTATGCTTCTATGCCAAGTATTTTGTCTTGGCATGGTGTAAAGGCCATGAGCACCCGAGGGAAAACACTACTGATTTCCTCAGGTATTCAAAGCTTTGTGAGTCTCACCTACCTGCAGTACCATTTCTGACCGCTAGTGAGAAAGTTACAGAACGACGGGAATGTAGTACGATACACGTATGTGGATTTTTAGAATGCGCATCAAAGCTCTTAAATAGATGCTATATTCGGTACAGATATCGTTAGAACTATTCAAAAACTGCGGGTCAGACAGATGGTGTACCATATAGAAGGAATTATGTGTTGAAGAACACTAAAACGGAATGTTGGCGGTGGTTGTAAGACGAACTCTTCATGGAATATCAAGGTAGCCTGGTTTCCAGACCTATTATAGCTCCCGAGTCCTACATCCTCTTTTCATCTATTTGCGGAGAGGATGTAGGACTCGGGAGCTATAAAAGGTCTGGAAACCAGGCTAATATCATGGACCCACTGGGTCCCCTGATAGTCATACGCAGTTTTTGACAAAAACTTGAAGTAAACATTGGTTGTTTTCAAATGTTGTTTTCAGTGATCACAAGACAATTGAAGTAAATGTAACTTACAGATAGAAATTTCGCACTCTGTGCACATAAGCTATAAACATTATGTCTGTAATTTCTGCCACGGTAGCAACTCTGGGAATATAGAACAGATTTCAACTCATCAAAGTTGGGCTCGTGTCAAGGAGCGCTTGGACCACGTGTAAATCACGTGTGAATCACGTGAAGGATTCCGTTGTAATGCATAGTCGCCACCCTGATTCCTGGACTAAGGTTCTTTACCGACGGAGTACATTTCTGTAGTTAATTTGTGATGACGTGCATTCCATATATGTGCAGATATGACAAGAACACAGAGTACGTAGTACGTACACTATATATAACATGAGATATGTAGTGAACCATATTTGATAGTACTCTTAACATGGAGTAAAAGAGACGAAGCAGAAAAGATCACCGAGGAGCGTACGTAAATCTGATCATGATTTTATCAATTTCCGTTGTGCGAATTATGATTATTTGAAACTTGAAACCATTGCTCATATTCTTCAAATTGTGTCCCCCACACACGGTCACTTCTGGCTTGTCCCTAAGATATGACAATGCGCCGCAATGACCCTCTAACCCCGTAAGTGGTAAGCATTAGATGGTAAACACTGCAGGGGGCCAGGTAGAATCTAGACCTTAACCCTTGGACTCCTTTTTGGTTTTCCCGCAGAGCGCGCTAAAAGGTTTAGGTTAGACCCCCCACTTCCAGTAACTCCCAACAGATCAGTGTGTCAAGATTTGTCAAACTTTACTGGGTACATCATTTTGCATAACAGTACATTGTTATAGTGCAGCCATTGTAAACTTGTAAATTTAAAGCAATTAAAACTAACAAAGCCCATAACGTGTTGGCGTGGTTTATGTTTCAGCCAATAAAACATTGTTGCTTGATTTTTTTTTCTGAAAGTCGTTTAAGATAAATTTCAGGTTCCTGTTGCTAATCATTTTGTATACGTAGTTTTCATGCCAGAGCAAACTTGTAAATTTCATAAAATTAAAACTAATGAAGCTCCAAAACGTGTTGGTGTGGTTTAGGTTTCAGTCGATAAAACATTGCTGCTTGATTTTTTTTTCTGGAAGTTCTAGATTTCTGTTGCTAATCAGCCTTGCCGTCGTCCTTCTTGGTGTACTTGTCGACGAGGAAGCGTAAGAACATCACGGCGTAACTTCCGTAGACGGCGACGGAGACCAGACTGACGAGCACGCCGGCGGAACACGGTTCACCGCGGAGAACGACCCAGAGCGCCCAGGCGTTAAACAAACAGCCACACAGGTGCTGGAGGATCTGCACTAGCGTGATGCAGACGGCTAAAGCTTCGGGTAAGATTACTCTAGCTGCCCGGAGAGCGAAGTAGGCGTACATCGGAGCGTGGATGCCGTAGTTCATGGCCAGTGAGAAGAGTCCCGGACCGTGCAGGTGGGCGTATGCGTACGAAGTATACACCAAGGTGGAGGCGTGGTGGTACCAGTGCAAGGAGCGAAGTCTCCGCTTACGTACCACAAGGAAGAAAGTGTCGCCAAGTTCGAAGACTTTGCTGAAGGCGAACAGAAATGTCCAGAAACCGATCAAGTCGTCGTGGTAGAAGGAAGAGTCGCAGACAGTGTACCTGAGGCCGTGACGATACAGCCTGGAGACGACCTCCCTGTTGGAATGCAGGGCTCCCAGGGCGCTGAACACGGCCAGGACGGCGTTCCAAGCCGTCAGCAGCGGGCGAAGGTCGAGCCTCCCTCGGTTCTTCATAGACCTCTTCCCGAAGAACACCGCCAGCAGGTAGGCGGCGGCGCAGGGGATCGTCACTCCCCAGTTCCTGGACATCCAGACCTGGGCGGCCTCGGCGTTGAACGGCCAAAAAGAGGGAAGAACATCGTCGTAACGGACGGTAGAAGTTTCCGCCATTGCTGAAGAGTGTCCCTCAGCCTTATCTGAGTCGAACAAAGCGAGAGAGTGCGTGCCGGATTCCGCCCTTGAGTACTCGTACCACCGGCACCGGTGCAGCACAAATACTCGAACTCTGGACGACGCCAGGTGGCTAAATATATTCTTCCATCTGTCAGAATAACGCCATGTAAGATAACGTACCTTAATGGGAGACGCAAACAAAGGTGTTTGCATCTGTTAAACAACTTTTCAGCGAAGACAGCGGTCTCTACTTAGCCCCTGTTTCAACCACAAGGATTGGACCACGAACAAACGTAAAAAAGTGCAAAAACAAAAACATTCACCTTGACACATTTCTATTGTAACGATTACCGTAACTGATTCCTCAAGCATTTGAAAACCAAACAAGTAATATGAAAGTCAAAGGTCAGACACAATTGTTTACAAACCATTTACCTGAATCTCCTCACGGAAGAAGCTATTGACCAACTTCTTGGAGGTAGGTCAGGACTCTGATCTCCTGGCCGACATTAGCGTATATGGTGTCGATCGCATGATAGGCACTTTTAAGGTAACCGAATGACAGGGTAACCAGCTGATAGGAATAGAATTGTAGAATTGATGTCAGCGACGTTTTTGTTGTGTAGGCATGGCACAGTAGGTTTTTTTTCGCTCACAACGTCGGCGGCAATAGAAGACTGAGCGTAATACAGGAAGTCAGCGAATACAGGGAAACCAGTTGGAGATAGGTCCGTGGTATATAACTCGCCTGTGCTTATGGTAAAGACTGGGGCCGAAAAATTACCGCCAAGGCGACCAAAGATTTGGTACCTAGGCTAGATGCCCCTCAAGTCCTGTACTTGTTGGTTCTACCAAGAACTGCCCCCACTCACTGAAAATGCACCAAATAAAAGAAAAGCGTAAATGGTCTGAAAGATGAAGGCCCACATAATTCATCATTGAGTCCCGTATTAAACTCCTGCGTCCTTCCGATGAAGAGGCGGTTGAGACACCACGACGCCACCCGATCCTGAATATGATTATCGAGAGAGTTTGTCTAATCATGGTCCATGATTAACGAACTCTCTCGATAATCATAACAGGTTTGGGTGAAGACGCCGGGACCACAGCCAAGATTCGCTAGCCTCTACCAGGCTTGGGGAGGCGGCTGGAAAGAGTAGAAATCGGCCAAATAGAGAGATAAGCATGGCAAGGGAGTTTGTCCGTGAGTTAAAGCATGGCAAGGGAGTTTGTCCGTGAGTTAAAACCAGGGAGAGAACATTTCGCCGGGCCCCGAAATGTTCTCGGCGAAATGTTCTCTCAACGGACGAACTCCCTCGCCATGCTTATCTCTCTATTTGGCCGATTTCTACTCTTTCCAGCCGCCTCCCCAAGCCTGGTAGAGGGTAAAGATTCGCCGCCGAAGAATGTCGCGGGAATTCGTCAAACTCATAACACTATAACACTAGGCTTGATGGGGAGGGGAATAGGTCAATCTTTTACAAAGTTACGAACAGAAAGCTCTCAAAAGAAGCATGTGAATTAAGGGTCTGAGACTTGGCATTGAACGCAATGTACAAGAAGCCCTCAATTTAAAACGGCTCACAGTTGATTTATAAGCCAATTGGAGCTTTTTCAAATAAGTCGATCGTTTCCGCGTTTCACAATTAGGCAGCAAAATGGAACTCATGCTTGACTGCTTTGCGTACTGTGGTATACTGTATTTACATATATAGTGGTGCCATACTGTTTAGCCTCTCTTACACCTGCTATAGTCCTACATGTTGTAGAGGGGCAGGGGTCTCCCCAGAAATTTTTAGGGGAGGGTTGCTCCCTAGTTGGTTGATGTTGTGGGAAAAAGCATCAGTCTATTTTCATGAAAATATTAAGAGAAACGCTTTAATTTGAACATTTTGGGAGAGGTGTTAGGATTTGGGGGCTTCATTGCTTGGGTATACACAATTCCATTCATAAAGTACAAAACTACCAGTATTCCAGAAGAGGTGTGAACAGTGTATCCTCAGTATGTCCCTTATTGGCCTTTCTCACTTGCTTTCCTCATATAGCTCCGGCGACGATGATTCCACGTTAAGAAAGCAAATAAAAAGCACGTCAAACAACTACGTACACAGCCTTTTGGAATTGATACTGAGTTAAGTGAAGTGAGTTAAATCCAGGCTAGTGGGTTAATCCTGGAGGCGCCGTGAAACAACTGTTTTCCAGCAGAACTCAGATATACTTACCCTGGAGGGGATTCTGGAGGAAATATTGATGTGCCATTGACTGATCTCAGCTGGGATTGTCCGGCTCAACGGAAGAGCGAAGAGGAAGACAAATTGCCGCGAAGATAGAATCTAGATGTATCTAGATGTCATTGGTTGGCTTTGTTGTATAAATGAGGACGACGTCCGTATGTTCTTTCAGAAGTGGGTGGCGCTTGTGTAGCATATGCATTCGGCTTGCTCGTGAAACAGGCCAGGCAATCGAAGAGCCGTTGGTTGCTTTTATTACACCACACCACTTTGGTATTCTGACGCGGCGATGTCTTCGAATTGGTGGCACCGCGGTTCTGCCCTCTGCCTGTGGGGCACCGTGTACGTGTACATGTACACGGTGATTCTGGCCGCTGGTGCCGCCGTCACGGATGAAGGGAGCACGGAGGTGCCGGCGGTTGAAGAGGGCGCAGGTGAGGGATCAGAAGACGGGGGAGTTACGATGATCACCGAGCTGCCTGCAGCTCACAACTGGACTGCCAAGCCCAGACCTTCAGGTAGGGCATCTACAAGAGTATACGACCCGTAAACGTGGCTTTTCGTCCGGTGGGCATTGCTTGATAATGATGTAACATAGCCTGGTTACCAGACCTATTATAGCTCCCGAGTCCTACACACTCCTTTATTTGCGGAGAGGATGTAGGACTCGGGAGCTATAACGTTATAGGTCTGGTAACCAGGCTAGGTGTAATAGTTAGGAGGTAGATTCAAAATTGCTATTTAAAATCAAAATGCTGACTACTACTTATTCGGTTGTGCTTTAAATTCTTTCGTAAGCTGCCATCAAAATGCAACACGTACTGCCTAAGTACAAGACCACTCCCTTTATGGCACTTGGGTACGCTCTGTGGAATTGTGAGTGTGTGAATTGTGATTTTCTGTCATATGGAAGACAGTTTCATGGTAGGAGGTTCATGATTTAATCCGGGTGTCTATCTGTAGATAGAAAACACCTGCCGGAACATAATCCTTCCGGCCACAATCACATATTTCACGTACACACCTTCAAACGGACGCAATTCCTTCAAATTTCATCGGAAATAACACAATCGGTACCGACTATAAGGTGTTCTGATATCTACAATTTAATGCATTGGGCCCTACTGACTACGACCATGAATATCGTGGCAGGACAGGCATCGGAAATCGCTGTCAACTCATCACATTTCACATACAGACCTTCAAACGGAGGGAAATCCGTCAAATTTTATCGGAAATAACATCATCGACACAGACTATGCATTGAGGTGTTCTGACATTTAAATTTTGATGCATTGGGCCTAACTGACCACGACCTTGAATATCGAAGCACGACACATCGGAAATCGCTATCTACTCGCATTTTCTGTCTGAACCTGTTTCGAAGCATAGTGAAGGTCCTTGAAAACAATAGTTTTAATTATTGATGGACTGTGTGTATATATATATATATTTATATATATAGCTACCGTTATAATCTTATCATGATCGCTATCTGCCGACGGAATGGGCTTTTTATCATAAAGTTACACAAAGGGATTTCGATAGCAATCTTTACGATCAGCCAAGGAGTTCGAAGGCAATGGAAGTGGGAAATGGATTTTATTAAACAATAATTCCATAGCTGTGAGCACTCGATTATAATCTATATTCATAGCTCACCGTTTCGCAGGTAGTCGTAGCTCAAATTTAAAATCTAATTATGATCAGGTGCATACAGTCTTATACTAGATAAAGAAGTGCAAATCATCAAATCAAAATTTTAGCATTATCATTTACTGCTCTGTGTGTTTTTAGAGGTCTGTTTGCAAATTTCGGAATGACTCGTATACCATCGAGAAATCTATACATGCAGGAAAACAAATGGATACGATATTGGAAAGACATTACTTTCCTCGATATGATAAATGGGAAATTGCATTTCATTTCATCAGCCATATGTGTTATCTTTGAAAAATATTGCCCGATTGACTCCTGAATCATATTTTTTAAGTACCAACCTAGAATGATCTCGCGATCGCCGTAAAATTGAATGTCACCAGACTGTTTCTATTTGTGTGTTAAATGGCTTTGCGGAAGTTGAATGGCCTTGCGGAAGCTTGGCGACAAATCAGTTTGCGATGGTACGATTCCACTCTCCACGTTAGGAAGGATGCAACCATGCTGAAGATTTGTCTCAGTCTTATAGAACTGGGCATTTGGTGGTCTTCGGCTGTTTTCTGACGGGAGTAATTCAACCAGGCCGGCTATGTTGTCTATATGCAATCAGAATATAGCACATAAAAGCTCCCAAAGACCCCGAACACCCCCAACCACGCCCCCCCAGTTTTTGGCTTGCTATGGAGGCTAGCTGAAGACGTTAGACGAAATGGATACGGAAGGGGAATGAACATAAAGTCAAAAGAACACAAGACATCTTAACGTCGCTTCTAAAAGTGAGCTTTTACAGCTTATCTGAGTGTTCACAAACTCGAGTGGTTGTTTCTCCTTAAGTGGAGCCAAATCCGTCAAATCAAGTCCGTTGCAGCTAACTGAGAAAAGCAAAGAGGTAGAACGCTGAGAACATCTCATGCCTGCCTCTAGCCGTTAGTTATGGATGCTGCAGAAGTTACCAAATTTTCTGGATTGTAGCCAACCGGCACCATGAAGAAGAACTCCATTCATGTGTTGGAGACATAGGGATGAGGAATGACACACTGAAAGGAACATTCAACCACGTTCCGACCACTTAGCTTGATGATTGCTGTGCCATCAGCACCTGTAGCGTGATTATGAGAACCGTAATGCACACACAGATCATAATTGGGGCATTTCTAGTATGATGGCTCTCGGCAGAACGAACTGCAGTCCGAGAACATCACATGCCTGCCTACAGCTGTCAGTTACGGCTGCTGCAGAAGTTGCCAAATTTTCTGGATTGTAGCCAACCGGAACCATTAAGAAGAACTCCATCCGTGCTGGACACAGTGGGTACAATCTTGCCCGGGAGAAAGAAGAGTCAGAGATGAGGAATGACACACTGAAAGGGACATTTAACACACTGAAAGGGACATTTAACGTTCGTCCCACTTAGCTTGATGATTGCTGTGCCATCAGCACCTGTAGGGTGATTATGAGAACCGTAATGCACACACAGATCATACCGGGGGCATTTTTTATAGTGGTTCTCGATGGAACGAATTGCAGTTCCGTTCGCTGAAAGCCATGCGAAAGGCGATGGATCACCATGGCATATTCTAGTTTTTCGCACCACTTAGCTGATGTGATGTGGCATCGCCAGGGCGGGGAAATGGCTATTTTACTTCGCAGGGATCTAGAGATCGATTGTTTCCGAGCTTTGGTTATTACCTTGGCAAGGTATACGTTTTCAGTAGCGTTTCTACGTCTGTCCGTTTGTTTGTTTCCAATTGAAGGTGAACATCAACAAAGATAATTTATTTAAATTATCACCTCATTTGCATAATCTACGAGGAAGTGCTAGAATAGCCTATTTTTGTTGTGTGGAGAATATGATCAACTGATGCAATCCATGCAAATGAGGCTCTTATTTGCGAAATCAATGATTAAAATTGTATAATTCGTCAACCGGAAGGGCTAACATCATTTGGCGAAGGTATGAGATCGTGAAACTCTTGTTTATCCGTTTTATTTAGTACTGAAAAGTCTTGTCTTAAAAAAAACGTGCTAACTACTTTTACATAGCAATAGGTAGAAAATTCTATCCATTGTACCACCAACTGTTTTCTATATGGTTCTCTATATTGTGAATTAATGGGATAGCACCCGTGTTATCCCATTAATTTACCAGAAAGAGATAATATAAAGATAGTGGTGGCACATAAGGTGAAAAATGGGATAAACAAATAGCATACACTTATCCCCAGCATATCACGTTTTTACAGTCAAATACTTTTCAGTACTAAATAAATGGAATGAATGATCAGATAATCAGAGACGGGAGGCGCCATAGACTTTCTGCAGCCTTTGATCCACTGCTCACAGAGTCACGTGTGTTATCTGCGTGGCGTCACGGAAGAGGTGGATTATTCATTCCTTGACAAAGACTGGAGTTGTACAGTCGAAAATTTGAGTGAGTCCAATTTCTTGTGTTAGAAATTACAGTTTAAACTTGCTGCATAATGACTTCTACCAACACAGATGAAAAAAATTAACTTTCAAGATAATAATCAGATCGTGTTTCCCCCTTTAATATGGTCGGACTGTCTTTGCATTGTTGCAAACAGCCACTCAAACAGTGCAATGGCCCAGAGATGTGCCAAAAGTCCAAAGGGCAATGGCTGCAGATTTGTCATTGTCATTTAACATGACAGGAGACCGTACGTTTCGTTTATCTCTCCATCTATCTCGTACCGTCATTTCCAGGTCGCTGGTTGGATGTCACCGTGGCAGCGCATCTTGAAAGCTTTGGGTCGGTGTCGGAGAAAACTATGGTGAGATACTTTAATGCTAGTACGTAAGTAGACTTCTTTGAACGTCTAGTTCTATGGTACATTGTGGACTGAAAATTTCAAACTCAACTATCCTTTTTTTTTTATTCCAACATTTCATAACTGGGCATGGTGACGGCACGCTCAAGTTATATCAACTTATTTTATACCGTCACCAACGCAGAGGACAAATACGGAACAGGACAATACTCATTTTCACTTTAGTTAAGTGAGGATAGTCGTGTAAAGTGCCTTTCCCAAGGGCACAAGATCGGTGGCATGTCAGGACTCGAACCCGGGTTCCGAGTCGAGTACTCTGCCGCTACGCCACACGACTCAACTTTCCTTAATTAAGCTTACTCCTACATCAGAAGAGTTTCATTATAGCAAGATTGTTAATGACAATAATTTATAGAGGAATGTAAGATATCGTATCTCCCATCGCCCATACGACGAAGTTCATTGCCTTTTATCAGCGTCACAAATAAATTGTCGAAATTCTTCTTTAATTCCCATACAATCTTTATCATTCTCCGGCATGTTTACTTACCCTAGGTGTAGCTGTAAGGCCACACCAAGTAAATTTTATGGATGACGTCCTTTGGAGACCCTAAATCTAATGCGAAAGGGCGAAAAAAAAAAAACAAGAACGGCCCTAAAAAACAAGATGCCTAGATTAGAAATATACTAAGAGACGACAAATGTCAGGACACAAATTGAATGAGGTGACACAGATTAACAAGCAAGAAATCTTCTATTCATCATCAAAACAGCAATAAATCAGGTGGAACAGTGGACAGTGAAAAATTTTCTGTTATTGACAGGATGGTCCTGTCAATAGTGCAATTTTTCTGTTATTGACAGGATGGTCCTGTCAATAGACCCTTTCTTCGCGTTACGGGTTTCACGTCAATCCGACGATTTGCGGCATTGTCGTGACTCTTTGGTCATAGTTACAGGAAGCGAAATTTCTTGTTTTTTTTTCTAGGAAGAGGCCAAAATCAATGCGCGCGCGGACGTCATCCATAAAATTTACTTGGTGTGGCCTAAGCCTTTGATGTGCGTTGACGAACGCTGACCATTAAAAGCTACACACTGATGTATCGTCCCGCTATAGGGAGGGCTATAGGGAACAATTGGCCTACTTCAAAAGATATTGGCATGTTATTATCGATAACGACTACATGTCAGAATCCATTTGACATTCATCCGTATCTGCTACTTGTTATCGAGGATAGGAAATGGATTTCCACACCTTGTTGAGATTCAATCAGGGAGTAATACCGCGCCTCTTTGATGGAAAACCAACATTTGGGTCATCTGTCAAGCACTTGTTATACAGTGATCATCTGCTATTAGTTTTCCGAGATAGGCGATGGTGTAGCCTCCTTTGTGTGTGTGTGTGTGGGGGGGTATTTTCTGATCAAACGTAGATCGCACGCAATAGAAGCCCCGGCCGGCAACCCTACATAGCTCTTACAGGGCCAGGGAGAGAACACTCATATCTAATAAAATCATTTTATGACGATATCAGAAAACAATTTTTACCACCAAAGTGCTCCCTTACTTCCCTACTATCCCCTAGCACGAGAAAACAATGTTACTACTAAAATCAAAGAAACCACATCTTAGAGAAGAAGTGGGTAAATTCGTCTTCCATTGCCGAAAAAGAAGAAGTCAAGCCCAGAAAAACTAGCACCATGTATGTTGTACAATGGAATGTAGTATAATGTTATACGTAGTCTCTCATACCATTGTATTTTCTTTCCTGTTGTTTGTACCTGCAATTAGCCCTTTCGGCATGTATTTGCAATAAACTTTCTTCTAATTAGGTCAGCGGTGTCCAAAATACTCCGGCAATTTACCTAGTTTTCCGGTATAGTACTCAAATTGAATGGGTGCGTACTGTGCTTCTAATGAAAGTAGAAGTAACCTTCAGCGTTCCGCATCCCCAAAGACTGTCTAACCTCCCAGTTGTAGACCTTTAATGACCATGATAGATGTATTAATCCTTAGAAATCCCAGGGAAAGTAAAAAAAAAATGTGCAGGTTAAGCGTTTTTTTCAGACATGGAAGACCTTGGGTATATCTATCACACCATTCCGCTATGTATATGAGTCTCTTGTATGAAAGAACGCCAAAGGCAAACACGGAAAGTCCCACTGAAAGTTAAGAAATGTGCAGGTTAAGCGTTTTTGATGACATCTAATGTCTCGGGTATATATGTCACAACATCCCACTGTGTATACTCGCCTTTTGTACGAAAGAATGCCAAGGGCAAACAGTTACTTTTCTCGACACCCGGCCCCATGTCGTGAGCCAAGGGAACAAAGATAGCTTCCACCAGGCCTTTCTATGGGAATACGGATCGAATAACTCGGCAAAAAAGAGAGTAAAATTGGCCAAGGGAGTCCGGCCGCGGGGAGGTAGTTTCTTTCCCTCTCATTTAACTGCGCGGCCAGTCAAACCCCAAGGCGACCAAACTCCCCTGGCAAATATTCTCCTACATATAGCTAGCGTAGTTAGTCTGGTAAAGACAAGAACAAAGGAAATAAATCCATGAATGATGTGCTCCGAACCAAATTCATTGTTAGCTTTTAGGGCGACAGTAACACCATACTGTGTCTCCATTTGCCAACGTATTATCATTTAAGAACGTTCTCCAATATCCCCAATAATACATTGATTGTCTGTGGAGTTTACTCCCATCACGGTAACATTACAGGTCATACAGGTTCAGATTCTCTATTGACTCGACAAAAAAGTACAGCGACTTTCGTATGGTCTACTACAACTGAAATCGAACAAAGCTAAATATACATGTATGGATAAAGTCATCCTACTTCTATTCATACATGGTCAATGGAATGGTGTCTCTTGTTCAACTGGAAACATTCTGTTAGTGAGATAAAGAGATCTTTTGAAACCAGGAAATCACAAAAAATTGACTTAAGAAAGGTCCCTAGGTCACTGCACCAGTCCAGACAGCTATATCGACCAAATGTAACAAACTGAGTGTGGTATTACATGTACAAAGGAGTTTGGGGAGTTTAGTTTATTTATTTATTTAGTCCAATTTATAAAACGTTTTTGCTATGAATGATTATTGCTGACTCCAATCATTTGAGCTATCCCGTGGCAAATACGTTAGTTAGCCTTGGGATTTTTTTACTGTACTAGTACGGAAGCACCCCTGCCTAGGGAGGATGACACCAATATTCCACGTTATTAGCTTTTTTTTTTACGCGTCAGTGGTTTTGAAGACTTGCCAACAAGTCTAGCGTTATTGCTTTCCCAGTTTACTGTCGAATGAACGGGTAATGGGCCTTTTCGTGGAACTGGAGACAACTTACATACGACCTTACCATTCTAGTAACTTTTGTTACGTGTCAGTGGTTTTGAAGACTTGCCAACAAGTCTAGCGTTATTGCTTTCTCAGTTTACTGTCGAATGAACGGGTAATGGGCTCTTTTCGTGGAACTGAAGACAACTTACATACGACCTTACCATTCTAGTAACTTTTCTCATTATTTCCAAATATCCATGTCAATCCTCCAGGATTTCAAAGTAGAGCTGTTGCTCATACAAGAATGGAAAGACGACCGTCTGCATGAGATCCTGACCGGTAAGAACTGGCTGTCCCTGTCTCCTGATGTCACCCTCTGGTCCCCTCACGTCGACTTCTCCAATGCCAAGAACGTCCAGGTCTTTGACTTCCTGTTCTATCATGAAAGTTCATCTTTAAGTTGGTAATTACATGTTTAGAGTTAAAACTTTAGATCCAACACAAAAAGTTCTCTCACCTAGAGCTTTCGACCAGTCACTCTGACCTTCCTCAGTAGACTGACCCAGTGAGGCTTGTCACGTGGCTTCTTTGAAGTGTGACGTCAACACTGGGTCAAAGGTATCTGGTAAACGATGTCGGCCCCCGTCGCGGTTCAGTGATGGGCCCTGATGTATATAGCCTCCTTCACCCCTCTCAGGAAATAGTCTTGTTCAGTGTCCAAAATCCTTACAGCATTAAGTGAAACAAGGTCTTTGACTTATTTGCATCATCTTTGTCTAGCTTTGTTTCATTTTGTACTTTCAAAAAATTAGTTTTCACTTATTTGTATATCAATCAACAGTCCGTGCTTATAAACCGGTATTTCTCATGCAGTCTCTAGTGTCACTGACGAAAGGTAGTGGATGCTACCTGAAATGTCTGATGGTTTCCAAAATCATATCCAGTTGCTTGAGTAACTGTTTTTTTGGCGTATCTTATTACGAAAGGTAGTGGATGCTTCCTGAAACGTCTGACCGTTTCCAAAATCATATCCAGTTGCTTGAGAAACTGTTTTGGCGTATCTTATGTCTAACCTTCACCGATGTGTCCAGGTCTTTACCTACGAGAAGGAATCCCACCAGGCCGCTAACACTTGGATATCACCGCTGGGACTCGTCAACCATCAACTCAAGTAATAAAACACTGGTCCTTTTGTGCTGAATCCGGCCAATATATATCAGTTATGACGTCTTTTTAGAAACATAATAAAGTAAGCCACTAACTAATTGGTCATGAAAAAAGTACGTGCCATAGGCGAGATTGGTTTGCCGTTAGACCACAGCAAGTACATTTTATGGATGACACCATCCGAAGACTCCAAATGCGATAGGGCGAAAAAACATGGCGGGGCAATAAAACAAGATTCCTACAGTTTCAAATTTTGACATCATAAACCTCGTTTACAGCAAAATATTACAACATCCATTTCGCACTGAAACAACTTTGAAAACTAAAATACAAATGGTTTTGATTCAGTGACCATCACATATAAAAAGAATGAAATACATCACACGAAGTAAAAGACAACATTCAATCGGAGCCTTGTCTTGTCTTGTCTCCTCTCTTCATATTTATTTGCAATAATCTTTTAGACCTGAATTTGCATCAAAGATTATTGCTAAATTAGATATCCAAGATTTACAGTGTGCTGTATTATTTGGGCTAGCTTGGCTGCAGTTGGAAGGAAGATTGTTGTTTTGCTAACTGAATTTACTAGGGTATAAATTAATGTATTGCATGTGACATTAGCTTCTAACAAATACATTGTAATCAAATGACTCAGGGGCGTTTGTCACTAAAATCAGGCATACCTTTGTCACAGAGGAACTGTAATGGTGATTCAATAGGACATGAGTGTTTGTTAAATGTACATTGTATTTACTATCTTGGTAGAAAGTTGTACTGTTACTGTAGTCTAGACCAGACTTCTTTTGCGGGGTGAATAAATCGTAGAAATCGGCCTAAAAAGGGTATCAATTGGTCGGAGAAGATAGCCGGCGGGGCAATGGAGCTTCTCTGGCCGGCTATCTTCTCTGGCCAATTAATACCGGTACCCTTTTTAGGCCGATTTTTACGATTTATTCACCCCGCAAAAGAAGTCTGGTGGAGACTACTGTTACTGTGTCCTGGTGTAGTAAGAAAAGTTTTTCTGTTCTCCGCCCACCTCCCCACAGGTACAGCGTTACTGTGAAGTGTCTGATGGACCTGCGGAGATACCCCCTGGACACGCAGACCTGCACCATAGTCCTGGATGGGTGTAAGCAATGATCGATAACTTGTCTCCCCACAGTAATTGAACACACCACGCACTTCCCCCATGTAGTCACGTAGCCGCATCATTTACCGTTTACCATGGCCTTTGCCGTCATTGAGATGGATTCGAACAGCCCGGGGTATTGAGCATCTCTCCCGGTCCGAGACGGAAGGACTGGGTGCGCACACCGGGGTGGTTTGGGTTGATGGAGCTCTTAACAGGAAATTCGTCACCAGCTAGCACGTTTTTCATCATTTATTTATGCCAATCTGGCAGGAACTTCTAAATGGAAACTAGTTTCATTTGTGGTACTTCTAATGTCATAACTACGTATAAACAACCATGAATGAATCACTAGTCTAGTAATGACCGTCAGGACGCCAAGTCCGACAGTTAGCGTTCTTCATACACTATATACATGTATATGATGTTTTCTACCACCAAACCACTTTTCACATTTCCACTATATTGAAAGGGTTTGGGGCCCCACTGACATAGTTTTGTCGTTGGTCTCGTTCGCATCTTGTCTAAGATGCGGCTTTCTCATTGTTGGGTCTATTGACGCAGGCGCTAACTCTCCAAGCAGAGGTTGATGGTGGAAGATAGCGTTGGCTTTTTATATATGGCCCGGTTTTTTTTTGTAGTGGTTGCGACAAAAAAAGGGACCATCTATAAAAAGCAAACGATCTTCCACCATCAACATCTGCTTGGAGAGTAGCAGGCGCTTACCGTTGTGTCATCCTAACATCCCCTCTGTACTGGACCTCTCCATAAAACAAGTATCGTTCTGCCTTTCATCGTAAATAAGTTTTTTGAAAGAACGCGTTGTATTTCAAAGTCTACAGTGTATTCCGATATTTATGCTAACCTATGTACAGTTGAGGGAATCCGCCTGTCCTGGGGCTACCCCGGGATCTGGAGAAACAGAGAGGCACCTCTGACGTCAGACATCACATCCCTCCACTCACAGTTCCAGCTCAGCCGAGTCGACATGAAGTCCTACGTGACATCCTTCATTCCTTACTCAAAAGGTACTCAAATCAGTGTCGGTTTGCTTTACAGTATTAATGTGTAATTGATTGTACATTTGGAGTCCAGGTATTACACCCAAATCATCTAAAATTTGGTATCGGTATGCTTTATATATATCTACCAACAACAACTCATTATAACTTTTCGCATGCATCCCTTTAAAATTGAATACTAGTAATTTGGGACTTGTGACTATTTTTCAATGCGAAAAAATGAAGTACTTACTGTATAGCATGATTAGTCAGTAAGGAATGCAGAGAGCAACAGCCAATAGGCATGCAGCTTTTGAGATCGTAGGGCAGTTGTAATCTTCATGCTGATTGGGTGCTGGGTTTAATTGGATTAACTCATTTTGGGCCAGGAGCTCAATGTCCAAATATGGACAGCAGGTGCAGCCCTGTTTGCTATATCTGTATCGTCTCCTAATACTAAGTAATACAAAACTTTGGTTGTAACATGGCAGGGAAAGGGTGCACGTACTCCACCATGTCGTGTGACTACTCCGCGGCGGAAACATGTTTCTCCAGCCGGCTGAGGTCCTGTCTCATACGGACGGACAACCCCGAGTGCGAGTTCTGTACCGGGTTTTCCGGAGACTGCTCCCAACAAAGGCAAAACTGCAGTCTGGTGGACAAAGGTCAGTATAGCATCCCTTCTCACCCCCATCAAACTCCTTTCAAACCGTACCCGGAAATTCAAGCCGTACCCGCTCAAAAATTCTGGCCGTACCCGGAAATTCGTGCCGTACCCGCGAAAATTTCAAGCCGTGCCGTACCCTGTACTTTTTCGCCGTACCCAATGGCGGATATCGCTCAGCCCAGGTGCGTAGTCACTCGAAAGTCATGTCTAAATACCCTGTACGGCAACGATACACAACCTCATAAAGCCTATGCTCTGGTTATTCCTGGCCAGCTATCTGCCGAATGGCGTCTTACAAATCGCGCCCAATCTTGAGGGCTAATGTAAAAGACTGCAAGCAAGAGAAGCCCTGCAACAGTCGCCGCGGCTAGCTTCTGGTCAGCATTACAGCATGCACGCGCGCATGAATTATAACACTTAACACGTTGTTACATACTAAGGCCATGTTGATTTGATTACTAGTAATATATATGGATGACATCCGCGCGCGCATGAATTTTCGGCCGTTTCCAAAAAAAAAAGTTTTCAACCATACTGTAAATCGTACAAAACAGTTGCAAAATGAGCAAAAATATACCATAAGTTTTTAAAAAAATTGATAAAAACTATACCAATGTCGTAGAATGCCAAAATCAAACGAAAAAAGACGAAATTGTAAATAAATGAACTTGAAGACAAGATTATTCGCCAAACCATATTCTGTGCCATTTGCTCAACCCTCATGACCACGTAGATTTCATAATGAAAAGAACTTTTTTTTTTTTTGCAAAACTTTTTTTTATTCGCACGCGCGCATCAGTTTTGGGGCTCCAGGAGGATGTCATCCATATAATCAAATCAACATGGCCTAAACAAAATTAAAATATTATGGGGTGTTTAACGTTGTCGATATGTCATACGTAGGAAACGCTATGCCCCTCCAAAATCTGTGACAGTTGCATGCAACAAGCAATCCAATCGTCGATAAAACGTATCCCGGAAGTTATGGATCCCTGTCCTTGGTGCTGAAAATGCCTTCCTCCTCACGAACAGCTGACAGATTCACCTACACAGCCCTGGAGATCCAGCTGCTGCTACACCGCCGGCTGTCCTACCACCTGCTGCAGATGTACATCCCTTCAGGTGCCATCGTCGTCATGTCCTGGGTCTCCTTCTGGATCGACGAGGGCTCGGTACCGGCTCGAGTCGGCCTGGGGATCACCACCGTGCTGACCATGACGTCCCAGAGCACCCGCACGGCGCCTATGCCGCAAGTGTCGTACGCCCGCGCCGTGGACGTCTGGCTGGTGGCGTGCGAGCTGTTCACGTGCGCCGTGCTCCTGGAGTTCGCCTTTGTGGACTTCATGCGGAGGCAAGAAATGAAACGCGGTGCGAGAATACGTGATCTGGAGGTAATTTCTCTGACTATGTTCTCTTCGTGTGGCGTAACGGCAGAATGCTCGACTCGGAACCAAGAGGTCCCGGGTTCGAGTCTTGACATACCACCGATCTTGTGCCCTTGGGAAAGGCACTTTACACAACTTTCCTCACACTCCTGTCCTGTATTCGTCCTCTGCGTTGGTGGCGGCATAAAATAATTTGATGTAACTTGAGTGTGCTGTCACCATGTGTCATGAAATGTTGGAGTATAAAAATAATTTCTCTGTTGAAAATTGATACAGAAATTTTGTAAAATGCGTCGGTTACCGCGTTGGTATAGAGACTGTTAACAGTGATTTCAACCACGTGTGCATTGTTCAAATCATAATGAGATTGTACATGACTTAATAGCTTTAAATATAAAAAAATGAAATAAAATTAAAATTATTTGCTGTTTTGTTTTGTGACATACAGGCTGTGGAAGATGGACAGATGGATCTGAAGGAAGGCACCGATGAGAGAATATTACCAAAAGTTAGCATCTCGACCAAAATGGACTACACGTGTCGGGTGGCCTTTCCCATCGCTTTCCTGATCTTCAACCTGCTCTACTGGATGTTGTATCTGAATTCCAGAGACATGTAGAAGAGAGAGCGAGGCTTTCAAGGCAATCTTCCGAACAATTTGAAGACAAGCCAAGCAAATTGCTAACGATTTGCACATCTAAACAGCATTGCTGGCTCCCTGGCCTGCGAGTTAATGGTCGTTTTTTTGCCAATGATGTGAAAGGTTCTGACTAGTATAGCATTCTGATGACTCTAGATAGTGCAGTCTGCACTCTGCCCAACAGCTTCCTTTCAATCTACACCTTCCAAGCTTTTGATGCAAAGATGGCAAAAGCAGGCTGGGTGTATATGGGGGAAGACATGCTGGTGGTGACTTTGCCCTTTTGAATACTAAACATTGTACAGAACATGACAGTATGCTATATGTAGTCTAGAGTGCACTAAGTGTCAAGGTTTATTGCCCTATACAATCATAATATTACACGGGGCTCTCCCTAAGCAATGAAGCAAGGGGCTCCCTTCTCCCCAAAATCCTAGGACCTGTCCCAAAATGTTCAAATTTAGGGTTTTCTATTAGTATTTACATGACATTTGCTGATTTTTCATCAACCGATTAGGGAGCACCTCTCCCCTAAGAATTTCTTAATATACATTATGCTAGAGCTGCAAAGAAAAAACAATAGATGCTGTATATAGATAGGCAGATAGAGTTCATGTCCTCTCACGAGAAGGCATAGCATGTCACTAGTCTGTATATACATGTTGTACAGTTTGTATAGGGACTTGTGTGTGCTTGTTTTGTGGATCATGTGTGAGTCATTGCTACTTGAGTATATACCATCTCACATCAGACATATCAGGTTGGTATTTCCTATATTAAGTATTGAATATATATATGACAAGCTGAACTTTATATATTCAACTCATAATACCACCTCTTGTTAACTTTATTGCTTGTATTGGTATATCAATTTTTTGTTTGTTTTATTTTTCTTGTAATGTCCACGATCATGATGATCATTCTGGCATTTTCAAGTGAGAAAAGCCGTGTTCAGTGACTTTCCCAAGGGGCAAAAGGTTGGTGACATAGCAGGATTCGAACCCAGGACCTCTTGGTTCTGAGCCAAATGTCCTGCCATTACGCCACACGACCCAACAACTTTTTTGTCCCAGTTTACTGTAAAGTCTCACATCAATCTACAAATCCAGTAAAATGGCACAGTAGTTCCATGGGGAAAACATGATGCCATTTTAAGAAGTGCATCTGTGCACTCTAAATGAAAGGATTTCTGTGGTGCAGACTGATTACACTCTAATTGATTAACGCGTGAAAAAACTATGTTACGAAAAAAACTAGGTCACATGAAACAAGATTGTGTGGACAGAAAAACAGATCATGTACCAGGTAATCATCATCTGTGGTGACCGTGTGACATTGGAACAGTACCACTTTTAGATTGATTACACTCTAATGGGAGCAGGTGCACTGATACTGAAACTAAGTCATTTTTATCCTAAAGCTTTCTGCTACTTTCAGAACATAAATATCTTCACACATGAGATAAAAGTCAAAAGGCATATACACCAAGGACTAGAATTAGAATATTTATTTTTTTCTGTCCACTCAAATCGATCAATATAGCAATCTTAGAAGCAGAAATAACACTCAATAACATAATAGTATCATCCAATAGTGAACAGACCAGTATACTGAAAATGCATTTTGTACATTGAGTTTTCAATGCTTCTTTTTCGGATGAGCATTTGGGAGCTTCTTGTGTTTCTTTTTCTCTTTCAGCTTCTTCTTCTTCTTGGTTTTCTCCCCACTACTTGTAGGAGAGTCAAAAACTGCAGTTTGTTTGATCTTCAGTTTAACGTGTTTGTCTCCATCTCTGTCAGTGTTCTTCTTTGTCTTCTTTTTGGGTTTTTGTTCAGTTCTTTCTCCATCTGTAAAGTCACTGACTTTGAACTTTTGTTTGCCTTTTTTCTTTGTTTTTTTAAGGTTGGGTGTATCCTTACTGCAGAGGCTGACACATGTGACACTATCGGATGACTCCTCACTGTCACTACCAAAATCATTCTCTTCCTCCTGGAAGGAAAAGAAATATTTAGTGATAGAAACTATATTAAGCTGGTGTGTTGCCCCGAAGGGCAGTTATATCAGCTATACAGATACAGAAACTACTGATGTTCTTCTACTGTAAGGTATATGGCAGAATATGCCATACAGCATTTGGTAAGACCAACATTTCTTGCTCAGATAGCCTTATCCAAAGTATTTCCCTGATAGAATATATTGCATGAAATGCAGATCCTTTATGTAACAAGGATCTTATGGTCAGACCTAAATGTATATGAATGGCTGTAACTTTATAATATAAACAGATCTTCTTTCCACTGATGCCATTCTAACTGAACCTCACCTGCTCTACTCCCACCCCCAGGATGGCCAGCTCTGGTGCCAGGTGGTCTGCAGGAACTGTCTCTTTTACTTCCTGCTTTGGTTTTTTGGGAGGAGGATCTGCAAAATCATATAACCAGAACAACTGTATGAACATCAGAAATGTTTGAAAAAAGTGAAGCAGTTGTGGGGAAATTTTCGTTTTTAGATTTAGGTCTCATACACAATGTTAATTTCAACAAACAAATAAACAAACAAACAAACAAACAAACAAACAAACTGTATCTTGTTTCTTCTGTCTTTTTTAAGTTTTTATAGCATATGCACTTTGAAATGTTTATGAAAAAGTACAAACCCCTGTGGCACAACAATTAAAATCCCCAATTGATTTCTGCATATACAAATGAGGCTAGGTAACCTAAGGCCTAGGTAAAAAAAATATTGTGTCCTGTTTCAGTCCTGCAAAAATTAGGGTCAGTAGGTAGGGATTATCTTTTTTTATCTTTCTTTTTTAAAGACTTTTTTTAGGTGATTTCTAATGATTCAACTTATACAATAAAGTAAAATGTGCATGAGGACATATTCATTTTACAATGTTTCATCACTCAGGTGTCAGATCATGGAGCTAGAAAAGGTCGATCAGCTCAAAAATTTATATCCCAAAAAAAGTCTAGGATCGGTAGGGAACCAAGAAACACAACAGTTTTTTCCTAGGCTAATCATGGAACAGGTGGCAACCAAGAAACTTGCGAATGAAAAAAAATCACCTTCAGCCAAGATGTCCTGGAAGAGCCTTCTCTTCCTCTCCTGGGCAGCCTGGACGTCCATCCACCTGTCCTTCAGCCTCATGAAGTGGTCAATGGCACAGTTCTGCCACACAAACCTGCCATACTGGTCACTCCTCAATCTGCGAACAACACAACACAATATGTCATATCACAAACTTAGGAAATTGAAAACAAACTTGGTATACTGTGGTACAAGTTGACAAGTGCCACTGGCCAACTTCAGGCTTTAAAATTAAGCATTCTATTGTCCCAGCACTGTCCCAAAAATAAATTTCAACTGTCCTGAAGTGAGGATGAACTGTCCCAAAATGTTTTTCAGGTAATGTTGTATGACTTAACTTGAAGTCAACTTTATTTTGCTTAAGCTCTGACTCTCAGGCATGCAATAATTGCAAAGTAGACAGGAAATTCGAGGGGGACTTTTCTGGATCCAAAAGCTTGGGCATGTACTTGATAAAAAAAGGACTGACATTCTGATGTTGATTATTGTTCTGTTGTCCCAAAAATGTCCTAAAGTGTCTTTTTAGTTGTCCCGGCCTAAATTTTAGTGGTCAGTGGCCATCGGGACACCATTAAATTCGAGCCTTGCAACTTGTTCTACAAGGAAACATGGTCTGTCTTGTACCAATAACTACATAATTACCTGTCCTCCTTCTCAACAAGCTTCTCAGCGATGGAAGCCTTCACACCGACAGGAGCGACTTTCCACACCACATCCATGACCCTGCTGCCAAACTTGTCACACGACAGCACCACGTACAGGTCCTGGGGGTGAAATCACAGCGACTAAAATCAGTTGTATAATTTACTAGAAATACTTTTTTTTCAGTCTTCCACAATATTGCAGAAATTTGTCAAAATTTTGTTCTGCAATTTGCAAATACTTTCTGCAAATACTCAATCTTTTCAGTTTAGTAGAAGTTTTTCTATAGCAATAACAGTAAGAAAAGCACTAAATGTTCACCCTAGAAACTGCGTTATCTGGGTTTAGAAGTAAGATAATTATGTTGTTTGTGTGGCACATCTGTGTGAAACTGTGGCCATATGCATGGAGGCCAATATCATTTAACCCGTAGCCTTATTTTTCAGTCTGCAAAGTTGCAGGTTGCTTGATTTTCCTTCTGTAATATTGAAAATGTCTCTGCAAAATGCAGACTGCAGATGGGTATTTCTCACACTGAAAATTATTGCCCTTTTTCATCAGAGATCCAGATTTATGCAGTACAACACATACTGTATGAGAAACATGGTTTCCTCTCTTTCATCTTTTCTTGTCTGCAGGGGTTTTTCTAAACAGGGGAATAAGGGTGCTGCTCCCTCATGTAACCAGCCAGCTCCGGCCCTCATATCAATTTTCAGATTGAACCCTAGGTGGCTACTTACACATATATAATTTAGTCTTTCTCAAAATGATGTTTTCAGGTAAAGATGTAAAAACAATACAACAATGCATTCTAGCATTACAAACTGTATTACTCTCATTAAAAAATTCACCCTTGGTCACTTTGCTCTCTCAGTCACCATGCTAGAAAAACCCCTGTTGTCTCCATGAGCCCTAAAACTGTTCAGTTAAAGTTCAAGAAAAGAAACTACTGAATGACTTAAGATGAGAGAAAATATTGAACGGCCCCTTACAGATATCAATTTAAGAATATCTTCTCCCAAGCTTGACTTTAACCACTTACCATCATCTTCTGCAGTAGAGGCTTTATTCTCTTTTCAGAGATAGTTGGACTGGTGAGGAAGGTCTCTATGACCCGGCTGCCAAATGAGTTACATGCCAGAGTCTGGAGCTCATGTGAGGACATGGCCTGGATACTGTCTGCTACATCCGAGGGGTCATCAAACCTCAGCAAGTGTTGGAGTAGGAGGGATCCATGGAGAGTTACTGTAGTCAGAACCTACAACAATAACAAGACGGTGGTTGCTGTTAGGGTTATTGTTCGCATGTCACTGCCATGATTTAATGATTTTGAGGAAGCCTTGGTACCTGTTAAGTCTAGACAGATACAGTGCACTCCTCCCCTGAGTGTATAGTGAACGAACCCCGGGGTCACAGAAAGTAGGGCATCCGGGGCAGACAGGTTTTCCCAAGGGTTTTCAGGAATGTAGGCATAGATGTGGGTCAGAGACATGCCTGTGGACATTCCATGCCTGTGGACAAAATACCTGTACAATTCCTAGAATTCTTACGAACTGCACACGATACTGTACCATTAGGCTCCTCCCTGAGACGTCGCCAAAAAATCCAGGACACAGCTCATAAAAAAGTCCTACTACCTTATATTTATCTATTTATTCACACATATATTTATTGAATATTAGGCAAGAAGCACAGTGGCTTATGTGACGCCTTCTACTCAAAACATAAATAAAACACAATGACAAAATACACATTACATAATTACAAAGTGGGTAAAAGAAAAATGAGTATAAACAAGGCAAGTTGGTGATCTACGAGAATCTACCTGTACAGTAAATAAAGTTTTGAACTACATCAAAGACATTACACTACAGTTATATAACATAAGGCACACTGACTTAATTATATGGATGACATCTCAGCATCAATTTTTTCATTTAAACAAAAGTTTGAACCCATACTGACAGTCAGTCTCACATAACATGCATTTGAAAATCTACGATATAACATGCATTTAATAATCTACAAAAGAAGTTGCCATGGAAAAAATGAGTTGTCTACCTTTGTAGTCTTCTGTTGTTCCTCACTCTTATCCTTTGGAACACCTGAGAACTGCTCATAAGACTGTAAAGAGGCCACAACCTGGGCACACTTTAGCCTGTCTGTCTTTGGAATGTGAAATGCCTACAGTAAAAAAAATCTATTTAACAAGGATGTACTAACGTAGTACAACAACAACTAACGTAGTTATAATAATAGTTTATTGGCAACACTCCTTGTACATGGCAGCGTACAAAACCGCTGAATTACGTACAGAGGTTTAAAAACAATTCAACAATAAGGTGAACTAAACAAACAAAAGACATTGACAAACAAGGTACAAACATAAACAAATACTGGCTGTACACAGTTATACATGTAGATACACTGTGTTTCTTCTTTGACCGTTTTTCGTGATATGTAGTTTAACACACATCAACTTCAAAAAATCACGAAAAACGGTCAAAGAAGAAACACAGTGTATCTATATGTATCTGAAAGAATTACTAAGAATGAATGGTACAACAGGTCTGATAAAGATATAACATGCAACTAAGATGGAAACAAAGCTATGGTAGAGTTTCTTACAAACATCATTTCACAGTCATATACATTATAACATAACCCTGAAACGTTGGATACCAAACACATAAAATTACAGTACTTTGAGATAATGCCAGACATGTAACTACAGGTACATTTTATTTGACTGTCTGCCTTTTGTTGTCTGACTAAATGTTATCATGTCCTGTCCTGTGAAATTGTATACTGGGCCCCATTGGAAAGCAGCTCCATAGCTGAATTGGGGTACCCAGCTGTTTTAAAATGAAATAAGTAAATAAATAAACAAACAAACAAATTACTATAAGATGCACACCTTTAGTAGTTTCTTGACAAACTTTCTCTGCCCATCCTGCATCTGGTGTCTGACACAGGCATCAGCAAGGTTGATCAGCACCATAGCCTTCCCATGGGCCAGGAGGTCCTCACAATGGGCCAATAGCTCGTCCAAAACATCTGCCAACTAAAAAGTCAAACGTCATATAAACATCCTTACAGATAATCTGTAAAAATATTAGAAATTTTTTAAATATTAGACATTTGAAAAGATACCTGGCACTCCTTCAAGATTAAACTTAAAATGCTAGAGTTTATGTATTTCTCAATTCTGGATGCCAACAATATTCAGTTGTAAACAAAACACAGTTGTGTCCAAGCATGACCCAAGTAGTACTTTTTGAAACACAAGTCAAGTCAAAGTTTATTGTGCAACAATTACATTGGGTACAACGTATGGCAAATAACACTTAATAACTATAAACTATTTCTACTAGCTTACTAATCTACAATGTAACCTTATCATTCGATACATGTACATGTTACGATGGAATACTACAATTTACACACAATTCCATCCCAAGCAGTTAACCTCAAGCCACACATACCTGGTCCTCAGTGCGAAGTGTGGACAGGAGTTGCTGCAGACCAAATGTTGCCACAGGATGCAGACTGAGCTGCAGCAGCCGCCACAGGAAGTGCAGTTGGAAAAGATTCTGATAGGTGGCGTCGTCTGCCACGGTCAGCAGGGTCTTTACTATGTAGCTGGCATGCTGGTGTACCAGGGCAAGGCACACCCCACTGTAAACCAGCACAGTACAGACTTAGAAGTGGGTATGTATCACATTTAAACTATATCACATTTTCCTTATTGCCTCTTAACTTAGCCTGGATGCCAGAACAACACTAGACTCAAATCCTGCACACTGGATAACTTTGAGCCTAGTATGCTATGGGCACCCAGGCTACTTTTGACTATACTACTAATAGAAATTTAACCCTAGGGGATGTCATTCTGAGCTCTATATGTGTACCACTTCAAATTTGCTACGCAGAATCTAGCTGATAAATTACTACAATTTCTATGGTGTACATTACTACCATTGTAGTGATATTTAATAATCTAGAGATACAGTGTGTATCATTGTAGTACCAGGTACTGTGATATTGTACCAGGTACTGTTAATCATATTTTTTAAAAACAGAAGCAGTGGTAATTATAAGTTGGTGACAGTTAGACATCCAGATAATAGGATACGCCGAAAAGCAGTTACTCAAGCAACTGGATATGATTTTGGATGTGGTAATTTTAAGTTGTATGATCATCCTCACCTGAGTTCACTCTCTGCACATGTTCTAGTGAACACCTCAGACTCCATGACCTGTTGACAGACTTGTGTACACAGCCCCTGGTCTACCTTGTGCAAAACAGTCAGGAGAGCCTGCAGCACTGGGCTGGCTGCTACATGGGACACCAAAACTACAACAGAGCAGAAACAGACAATATGATGCTGGAAGGAAATTAGCTTTTCTTTACTGAAGGAAAACATATTGATTTTGCTCTGTTTCCTCTTCCTCTTCTTCTCTAAACAAATAAGGTCAATGGCCTGAACCAGATGTCTGTCACCATGGTAACTACCGGTAGTGTTGGGCTACATCATGTTAGCAGGAGGGATGTAGACTCCTGTTTGACCATATATGAATGTGTTTGAGTAAGAATTAAGAGAGCAGAATCAGCAAAGGTAATCATTATGCATTTGCTTAGCAAATGTTACCTTTCTAGTAAATGTTCTATATTTACTAATGTACTGTCTTTGAACATTATGTTCAATGTCAAACTTAACACTCTGCATAGGATTATCTAAGTCCAGTTACCTGAGAAGTCATCAATGTTCAAAATAGCTTTGGTGAGCTGCTGCAGCATCTGTAGGAAACTGGGAGGCGGTGGTTTGACTGTGACTGTGGAGGATGCTTTGCCATCTTTTCCAGGAGTGACTGAAAAGTAAAATATTCTTAAGTAACTGTAGTACATGTACTATGAGTAGAAATCTTGATACTAGTAATGTTATTTTTTTATCTATTCATAATTTGTAGATACGGTGGCAAGACTGAAACCTTACCAAAGACAAACATTTAGGCATATTACATTTGTACATGACATGGCATGGTCTGAAATTTTGATGAAACTCTAGGAATTGTTTGCATCTTTAGAAGTTCATTTCTCACTCTGTACCCAGTTCTTATGTCAGAAACCAAAACACCTTTTCACTGGGTACACAGTAACTTTAAAACTCTTTGCTGTCCACACCTCTGTTCTGTTGTCCGAGGGACAGCCGACTGCGAACCATCTTCTGTTCAAGCTTCACCCCACTCAGGGTCTCAAACACGGCTCGCAACACGTGACTTCCGTAGTGGTCCCTTACAAGCCGCCCGACACCCTCCACCATCTCCTGGCAAACTGCAAGGAACAAGTCACGCAGGGAGTCCTCTTCTTCCTTCTCTGTCGTCTTTTTTTGAGCGGTAACGTCTTTTCTCGATGTTACACTGAGATGACGGGGGATGAGGCACACGATGGTCTGGAGGACGTAACCAGCAAACCTGGAATGAGAGAAGGCCTTCCTGAAGCAGTGAACAATCAGATGTACCTAGCCCTCTCTCGGTACATCGAGAGTATGCACTGTTTTGACGTGCTCCCCTAAAAACACTTCCAGCTTCACACAAGTACAAGGCACCTAGAGTTAAAATACCTAGAGAGACTTTTGACTCTGAACTGAACCATGCGAAAACGGAGCTGGAAAACGAGCACCAAGAGACCACGTCTAGCGATATATTAGACGTAAAACAAGGACAACAACAACAACCTGTCCGTACACAGCGACGTGAAGTTGTTTTCTTTTAGCTGTGTGATGATGCTGATGAGGTGGAATGTTGATGCCTGGTGCAGGAGGTTCTCCAGGATCCTGCTGACTGTCTGGTTACAGGCCAGTACGTGGATCTCTTCTTCCACCTGCGTGAAGACATTGTTGAGGAACAGACCTGGAACAAAAACATCATGCAGCAGTTGTTCGACGCGGTACTCAAATTGGTTTGATTTTGCCCATGATGATGATCATGATTCTGGCATACTCATTTTCACCTGAGTGAAGGAGGAAAGTCATGTAATCAAATACTAGTAGTGCCTTTCCCAAGGGCACAGGCAGGATTCGAACCCCGGACCTCTTGCTTCTGAGAGCCAAAAATTATGCTCTGCCGTTACGCCACACAACCCTACCTATTTTGGTATACAATCTTTACTTTAGATCGTATTTGATACAATAAAAGGTACTTTGGCTGAGATTTAAATGACTTGTAACTTGCATGTTGACAAAAACACAATTCTGGGCCAGAATGCGAAAGGAAAGTTACGGACAAGTGTCCAGACAAAACTCAACTCACACTTTTCCTCTTCTTCCTCGAACCCATCCTTCAACTGTTGCTCCACTCTACGGTAATAACTCAGCGTCTGTGGGTCCAGGCGACCGAGTCTTCTGTCCGGCCCTCTGTCCTCTACAGCCCTGCCTTTCCCGGCGTACGGTTTCTCATTTCGTGGCGCATTTTTGTCGAAATATCTCTTTCGACCACGAGGAGCCCCTCCACCACGTTTTGGTGGCGCCATTTTGGGTGCATCTATTATTTTTCAGGGGAGGGAGAAAGTATTTGTCGTTCTAAAAGAGACCAATATCATTTTTCCAGAGCCAAAATTTGACAAAAAAAATTATACTTAAATCAAACTTATCATAACACTCTTATGATAAGTTGTACTAAATATAATTTTACGATTGAAATATGTTTATTCGAATGAAAATTATAGATATCTCCATATACTAATGGAACATTCGAATTCCCTTTGACCCTCTTAGGATACGCATCTTCGATTTCGAGCCCAAAGTTCAGTGTAAAATCTTCAATATAGTCTTCAGTTCTGCCTTCGCTGATCTAAAGTTGGATCACGGAGGTTGTGTATAGTAACTCTAAGCTATTTCCCTGGAAAAGGAAGGGGAAAACCGATTATTTGGGCCAAGTTGTGCAAGACTGTTACGAAACGCAAGGGGTCAGGCGGCCATATTTGTGACCCGACGTGACTTTAGTTACCGATTCATGACTTTGCGTAACGTGAAATTTGGGTTATGATGCTAGCGTGAGGCAGAGAAGATGGCGCACAGGTACCTCGCTGCCGCTAGATCGTGTGAGAGGGCCGTCAGAGGGCTTGTTCATCTCCAAAATACATGTAGGACGCAGGTAAGAGATACTGCTGATTTTATAACTGATGGGGGAGGGGGGCACTTAAGCTTGTTACATATCTCATAATCTACTAAAGGTACGCATACGGAAATCCTCTTTTGTTGTTTTCCCTTTAATACAGTTATTTTGTTAATTTGTGTTATTCAGAGGATGATTTTATACGTCCCGGAGAAAAAATGAAAATATTTTTCTGATCTATAATTTTTTTGTGGGACATCTAAACGTAAACTGAGTGCCTTATGCAATCATTAAGGTGGTTACATATACTATGTATTGTTTAAGTAATAGTTTAATTATTGTGGTGGCGTTTGTATAAGTATATAACCTGAGTGTGTTCCATGCTGTAACAGTTACATATGTATGTTGTGCGGAACTCAATAATACTCATGTAACAATTACATATACATTGTACATGTAAAATTATATGATTAGAAGCATATTTACACTATATAATTTTTTTTACACAGTTGCAAATATTATAGTAAAGTTTTAAATTTGGAGTACATTTATACGTACTTGTATTTTCCAGATCCCTGCCCATACTCATACTCTCAGCACGTCAGCTGAACAGACACAACACATTAACAGACTTCTCCAGAAGTGGAGCAGATTATTATGTCAACCACCAAAAGGTTTGTGTTTTTTGATATTAATAATCATCATTATTACAGGCTTGTAGATACCACTGTAGATATCAAAAGTAAACCTTAGGCGTCATAAAATCTTCAAAAACATCATGAAGTACTACTCTAGAAAGGTAACATTTTCAAAGCAAATGCATAATGTTTACCTTCGCATAATTGGTCTGCTCTGTTCATTCTTACTCAAACACATTCCTATATATGGTGACAGGAGTTTAAATCCCTCCTGCTATAAAATTGCAACATGATGTAACCCAACACTACAAATGCAGCTATATTGTACCATGGTGACAGACCCCTGGTTCAGGTCATTGACCTTATTTGTTTGGAGAAGAAAAGGAAACAGAGCAAAAACGATATGTAAGCTCTATGGATGAGAAATGAAATCTCATTGGAAACTTTTTCTTGTAGGATTTGAGAAGTTCTTCCCAGGTGGGAAGAAGAAGGAAGCCCCAGAGACCAAGAACACCCCCCCACCGCCTCCCCCTCCGAGCCGGACCACAGGCGGACCACAGAAGCAGAGTGAGGGCCAGGATGACTGGTTCTCCCAGTTCTCCAAGGCTACAGGGGGTGGGGGAGGGGGGAAAGGATCTGGGGGAAAGGTATGGTGGTTTGAGCTTTTACAATACATGTAGTTGAACTTGTTGAAACGTTGGTGAAGCTTTGACATCCAGGTAATAAGGTACGTCAAAAAACAGTTACTCAAGCAACTGGATAAGAGTTTGGAAACGGTTAGATGTTTCAGGTAGCATCCACTACCTTTCTTCAATCAATAGTTCTTGCTTATTATAAAACCTGCATTTTTGCACAATGAAATGCCTGAAATGTCTGACTATTTCCAAAATCATATCCAGTTGCTTGAGTAACTGTTTTTTGGTGAACTAGTTGAAGTTTAACTTTAAATTAGTGTGCTAGTTCCCAATGAAGTTGATGTACAGATTAGATTCATTTATCTTTGCTTCCAGATCCAGAGTTACCATCTTCAAGATAGCAGGAAAATGTTATATAGCTTTCACATCTTCATAAAATGTACTAGTATGCTGGTGGCTTTATAATATTATGTTTTTAAATTTGATCATGATATCTACTGTGTTTTTGTATACTGGCTTATCAAATTAGGGATGTTTGAATACTTAGTCACTTTACACCTGAATTTAAATTGACTACTTAACCAAGATGGCATAAACAGGTACAAAACGTATATAACTTATTCTGCAACTGGTAAATGAAACTGGAACTTGAAATGGTTTCTTTAATGTTTTAAATGTCATTTTCAGCAACAGGGCAAGTGGCCGTGGGATGAGCAGCAGACACTACTGTTACTAGGAGCGGTTGGCGGGGCAGCTGGCCTGTACTATATGATCTACGGGGCTGCTGGACCAGAGATCAACTGGAAAGACTTTGTCAACAACTACCTGGCACCAGGGATTGTGAGTATTATATCCTTGTTGATATCAAATATATCTTAGTCACAAATGCTTCTTTATGTTTACCGAAAGAAAATATATTGTTTTTGCTGTTTCCTCCTCTTCTTCTCCAAACCAATAAAGTCAATGACCTGAACCAGATGTCTGTCACCATGGTAACTAGTGTTGGGTTAAATCATGTTGCAATTTTATAGTAGGAGGGATTTAGACTCCCGTCAGACCATATATATTATATATGACTGTGTTTGAGTAAGAATTAACAGAGCAGACCATATGGGAAGGTAAACATTATGCATTTGCTCTGCAAATGTTACCTTTCTAGTTTGCTATTCATATTTGCTATGATAGTTCCAATAACAAATATGTTTATCTTCAGGTTGACAGAGTGGAGGTAGTTAACAAAAGATGGGTGAGGGTGAGGCTAAAGCCAGGACACCAGACAAATGGGGTGAGTCAGCTACATCATTATTTTCCATCTGTAAAATTAAACCAATCAATACCACTACCTGAAATACAAGTACATGTAGCCAAATGTAATAATATCTTGGCTGCTTAGTGTTCGGTAAGGACAGGCATGTTTATCTGTGTGTGGATAGCGTTTTTGTGTTCTTGTCCTGTCTAAACCATTTGGGTTATAGATGAAAGGAATAGTATCTTGCATGATTGTCTAAATGTTTTTTTCTACATCACCAGAAATACGTGTGGTTCAACATTGGGTCTGTGGACACATTTGAGAGGAACTTGGAGAATGCCCAACTGGAGATGGGCATAGAACCGTCCAACCACCTGTCTGTGGTCTACACATCAGAGAGTGATGGGTAAGGACAAAGTCATACTGCAAAACTGACCACCCTGAAAGCCATGCATGGACAGATCTTTATGTTTTGTTGCACCTATTGGGCCTTGTCATGATGGACAGATAGATCTACTGCGTTTCTAGTGCTTTATTCTGTATTTAGTCTCAAGTGTTAGTAGTGTACAGTCTCCATATTGGGTAAAGAAGAGATTGTATTACTTCTGACTGTATTCCTTGAGAGTGCTCCTTATTCACTATTCATGATAGGATATACTATTACATTGATAGGGGTGTTAACATCTGTCTTACTTAGGGCTGTGTACTGGTACGCAGTAACAGTACTGTACCAAAAAATGTATTAGGTACAGGTCCAAAATACCTAATCCCACAGTACTGGTACTGTACCTGTGTAGAGTTACACTAGTCATATGCTTATTTGCGGCCTAAAATAGGGAAATAGCTGGTCCTCCATGGGTCCCAGAGGTAGGACTGTGTGTTTGTGTTACAGACTAACAGTGTTAGCTACCCTGAAATACCTGTTGTGTATTAGATATGTTCCCTGTAGATGTCACTTTGGTCAGGTTTGTGTTGCATCAGGCCACATAGGGTAGGAGAGTGAAAACAAAAACATCTTAGTTTTGCCCATATTTTTTTTGAGCATTCTCCACGAACAAAAACTTTTTGTGTGCTGCTTTGGTGGCGCAACAGTTAGAGCGTTGGACTCAGAACCGAGAGGTCCCGGGTTCGATACTCACTGTGGCCCGACGTTGTGCCCTTGGGAAAGGCACTTTACATGACTTCCCCACCATGTATGATGGAGTGACGCCCACCGACCCTCTAACGCTAATCTGTCTAACTGTGTGCCAAAAACACCTTACGGATTTTGTGCACCAATGTGACAACATCTGCACTTTGGCCACTGAGAGCCGTTAATTTTTTTGTGATGTAATTTTGTCCATGTGTCTATTTCAGGTCGTTCATCCTGGGTATGATCCCCACCCTGCTGATCATCGGCTTCCTGCTGTACATGTTGAGACGAGGACCAATGGGAGCAGGCGGGGGAGGGGTGAGCAGGGGGGGACGGGGAGGGGGGATCTTCGGCTTCGGGGAGAGCACAGCCAAACTGGTCGCACAGCAGGACATCAACGTCAACTTTGCGTAAGTTACTCATTTCTTTGATTACAAAATTGTGTTTGTGGTCACTTTTTGACATGCTTAATGTATTTGTGTATTTGTGTGTGGATAGTGTGCAGCACTGAGGGTAGGCATGAGTGTTTGTGTATGGCTAGTGTACAGCACCAAGGACAGGCATATGTCTTTGTGTGTGGGTAGTGTTCAGCACGAAGGCTAGTCATGTTTACCTTTGGGTGGATAGTGTTCAGCACCAAGGACAGGCATAATTCCGTGTGTGGATGGTGTTGAGCACTAAGGACAGGCATGTTTCCCTGTGTGTGGATGGTGTTCAGCACCAAGGACAGGCATGTTCACCTGTGGGTGGATAGTTTTTTTTGTGTTTGCGTATCTAAATTGAATGCCTATACATGTATTTCTCGCTGTAGTGATGTTGCAGGCTGTGAGGAAGCTAAGCTGGAAATCATGGAGTTTGTCAACTTCCTGAAGAATCCTCAGCAGTACATTGACCTGGGTGCAAAGATTCCAAAGGTATTTGATAATTCCATCCAGGTTTACTAAGCCTTGATATACATATACCATAACACCATTTTTAGGATCAAGGAATTGAATGAAGATTCATTATTAACAGCAAATCACATACTAATATTGTAAAGTTTTGTTTTTCCCCCACACTCACTCACTCACTGTTTGGCATCTGTTGTTCACCGTCTTCCGAGGGTTAGACATTCTTGCATAGCAGTACTGTGGCTTCAGTCAAACGTGTGTGATGGCAGCAGTGTGTTGTAGGGCCTAGGAAAAAATGTTGTGTTTCCTATTTCCTGAACGACCCTAGTCTTTTTTTCAAGCTGATCGACCATTTTTCTACAATCTGGCACTTAAACATTGTACAATTAGTTTTTCAACAACGACATTGAAAATATGTGTCCTCATTCAAGTTTTACTTTGTTAAACTCTATTGTTTAAGTTGGATCACTAGAGATCACCAAAGTCTAAAAAAAAGAAGGTAAAAAAGATAATCCCTACCTACTGATACTAGTTTTTTTGAGGACTGATACAGGAAACACAACATTTTTTTTCCTAGGCCTAGTCTATACTCCTCAGTACCTTTGGTCACACATGGTATATTTCCAGGGGGCGATTCTCTCTGGGCCTCCCGGCACAGGGAAGACACTTCTAGCCAAGGCCACAGCAGGGGAGGCCAACGTTCCCTTCATCACGGTCAACGGTTCTGAGTTCCTGGAAATGTTTGTTGGAGTTGGACCTGCCAGGGTGAGCAAGTCTGCAAAGAATGTTCTACAGATTTTTCTATTCAACAATGAGTGATAAGTGTTCAAAAACTCATTCTTTCCTAGAATTATCGCAGAGTGGAACTTGCTGTTACCAAGTACAGTAGGGGCGTTATCATTAGATAACTTTAAACAATGTTTAGAGTTTGATGTTCAAGGGTTAGGTGTAATGTAGCCAGCTGCCGCCATGCTGCGTGCCTGTGAGACTGGCAGTTAATATAGGCTATACAGATACAGATACTAGTACATGATTTTATCCAATGGAAAATCGGGAAATGTTTCATGCATTACTAATGTGTATTAATAAGCAGATTGGCTCGGAACGTAGTTAAAATGTTATATTAACCCTCGAACTGTCAGAGAATATTAGATCTGCCTTATGGATAGAAAATTATGATTCAGTCATTTAGTCTTTAACCCTTGAAATGTCAGGGCCTGTAAGATCTCCTTAACTAATGCCTATTGAAAAAATTGATTCCAACATTGGGTCTTTGAAGGTTAATGCCCAATAAAGATTAGGTAAATGGCTAGTTAGGGACCATACTACTTGGAGGTAGCTTACCAAGAGGAGCAAGGGGCCAGCCTCTGGTCTGAGCACTTAGGCAGTAGGTAGACAGACTGTTTAAACTGTATTGGTTTGTGTAAGATGAGTGAATGGTGAACGCTCTATCACTTCTCTTCTGCCTGAAGGTGCGAGACATGTTCTCCATGGCCAGGAAGCACGCCCCCTGTATCCTGTTCATAGATGAGATCGATGCTGTGGGCAGGAAGAGAGGCAGGAGTAACTTTGGTGGGCAGAGTGAGCAGGAGAACACTCTCAACCAGCTGCTGGTGGAAATGGACGGTCAGTACAACATTGTAGAACACCAGCCTGTGTGTGGATGGTGTGCTGCACTAGTTATAAGCATGTCTATCTGTGTGTGTAGATGGTGTTCAATACCGAGGACAGGCTTGTTCACTTGTGTGTGGATGGTGTTCAGCACCAAGGACAGGCATATGTCTTTGTGTGTGGATGGTGTTCTGCACTAGTTATAAGCATGTCCACCTGCGTGCGTAGATGGTGTTTAGCACCAAGGACAGACATGTTCACTTGTGTGTGGATGGTGTTTAGCACCAAGGACAGACATGTTCACTTGTGTGTGGATGGTGTTCAGCACCAAGGACAGGCTTGTTCACTTGTGTGTGGATGGTGTTCAGCACCAAGGACAGACATGTTCACTTGTGTGTGGATGGTGTTCAGCACCAAGGACAGGCTTGTTCACTTGTGTGTGGATAGTGTTCAGCACCAAGGACAGGCATGTTTACTGCTTCTGATTTACAAAGTGTTGATAAGAATGATCTGATAATAATGTTAGATATTTAATGTAAATCATATGTCACTGTGGTAGACTCAGAAAAATGTATTTTGTTTTGGAAAGTTTTTTAATATGAATATTCTTCACATCCTGTTACATATCAACCTTCCTGTTACATTCTTTTCACATTTCATTCATCTTGTTTTTTCCTCAGGTTTTACGACACAGATGAATGTAGTTGTCCTGGCAGGTACAAACAGACAAGACGTGCTGGACCCCGCCCTCATGAGACCTGGACGCTTTGACAGACAGATCTACATCGGACCTCCGGACATCAAGGGGAGGTGAGATGATAATGTATAGCTTGTCCCCTGCGTAGAATGATGGGACAAATTTAAATGGTGATATTATAAATAACTTCATTGCACGGCAGTTATACATGGTACAATGTATGTCAACGACTATTTGGTACCAAAAAAAGTATGAGATATCAGGCAGAAGTGTTGAAGGTACTACTAATACTGGTATTTGGACTGTCATGGGTAGTAAAATGTACAACACGTCATGTTATTTAATGTTCATGTAGCTTTTGTCAAACTTCCAGTGAAAGGTTGAAACTAACAATAGCCCTTCAGATACAGATAAATTTGTATATTGATTTTTAGTACTACTTCTCTTGCAGAGCGTCTATCTTTAAGGTCCACTTGAAGCCACTGAAGACAGATGTAGACAAAGATGCCTTGTCCAAGAAATTGTCAGCCCTCACTCCTGGTTTTACAGGTACATGTACATTTGATTCATGTACTTGTTTTGTGTCATTCTTTGATTTCACTGCTTCTTTACAAGTACCAAAGGTGGAGGCCAATCAAATATTGTATCATTATCTATGTCATCATGTCTTACATCATGCCAGGCAATATGTGTTATTAGGTTTACCAAAGGAAAACATATTGTTTTTGCTACGTTTCCTCATCTTCTCCAATCCAAAAACAAAAAGGTCAATGACCTGAACCAAACTGTCTGTTACCATGGTAACTAGTGTTGTGTTACATCATGTTGCAAGTTTATAGTAGGAGGGATTTAGACTTTTGTCTGACCATGTATATGAATGTGTTTTGAGTAAGAATTAACAGAGCAGACCATATGTAATGGTAAACATAATGCATTTGCTTTGCAAATGTTACTTTTCTAGTTTTGGTGATATTTTGTACAACTTTGAAGTGAAGTGCATCCTTCCCGTAAAGCCTTACCAACAAAATCTGTAACAGGGATTGTAAATGTTACCTCCCTGCAGGTGCGGATGTGGCTAATGTGTGTAACGAGGCAGCCCTGATCGCAGCTCGTTATGGCAAGCCGTCCATCGAGATGACACATTTTGAACAGGCGATAGAGAGGGTAGTTGCAGGTAAAGTTACAACTGTACAGTAACCCTCTGTCTTTACATTGTATGATAAGATACCAAGTGTGCCCTTACTTCTTTCTTTTGTATAAGATATAAAATTTGGAGGCACTCTGGTTCTGAATCAACTCAGATATGCTCATATTTTGCCCCCAACAGTTGAGAAAAGTCCTTTTCTTCCTAGTTGTTACAGTTTTTCCATCTATCAATGCTGTGGTTTGATTAAAAGTTCAAATTTCATTGTTTACTTGTGTTGACTTCATGGCTTCTATCATAACATTTGGGGCTACTATAGGATGCCTAGACCTGTTTTTATTTCTTTTTTTTTTCGCCGTCGCTTCATATTTTTTCTGAAAATATCTGAGAACCAACAAATTAAATTGGTGTGGCCTTAGCTCTTCAGTGAGCTAAAACTTGATTGAGATCACTTTTGTTTCCTTTATCTCAGGTCTGGAGAAGAAGACCCAGGTGTTGGCCCCTGAGGAGAAGAAGACTGTGGCGTACCACGAGGCCGGCCATGCCGTCGCCGGCTGGTACCTGGAACATGCAGACCCTCTGCTCAAGGTACTTTTGAGTTTGAGTTTATTGGGATCCACAATTAGCATACATAGTATCTTGTGGTCCTACATTTATACATGACATGACACACAGGCAAATATATAAAGCATAGATACGCTGACAATAGGGAAGTTTGTGTCTGTTTTTTGCCATTCAAAATTGAATACCATTGAAATTTTATATGCGTTCAAAGGACAGGAAATGGTAAAAATTCAAATCAGTGGTTAAGCTAGTGTGTTATGCTGAGGGGTGGTGATACCAGCTACACAGATACAGACAGTTAATAGAATTTTCTTCAAACGTCATTGTAAAAGTCTGCCATGTCTTTCCAGGTGTCCATCATCCCCAGAGGGAAAGGTCTAGGCTATGCACAATATCTCCCCAAGGAACAGTACCTCTACACCAAGGAACAGGTAGGGCACCATTTGTCGTTTTTTAGTATGGTTCGTTGACAGGTCTGTGTATTGTTTAGACTGATATTTATGCAGCACTCAGGGCTCAAAATACTTTTGTCTGCCTATCTGCAAAGGTGTAGGCAACATTTAAAATTATGTGTACCTGCACTAGACATGTTTCACCTGCGCTAGTTTCTTGGCCTTGGCTGGTCATATCTTTCCAAAGTGCCAGGGGCTGGTTTTGTCATGGACCAGTGCAGGTGGACATCAGAAATACCTGCAAAGCTCCAACATTACCTGCAGTAACTTGCATATGCAGGTGTTTCGAAGTGAGTACTTCATCCCAGGGCTCTAGCCAGTACCAGTTTTTCCGTCAATTACCAGAACTTTGCGGCGTGTGATGGAAATTTTCTAAAACCAATCCAATCAACCTTGACAGACAAAATTAACAGAAATCTTGGGTAAAAATATGAAAACATCCAAAGGACCACTGACAAACACTCTCAACACCATGATTTGCCTCTCAAAATGCGAGAAATTGCATTTTTGAAGGCTTGAAAATCCAAAATTTCCCAGGGGAGCATGCCTCTAGCACTCCCCTCCCCAAATCTGATGATGAACCTGGGCTGACGGAAAAAAAAGTCAAGCTGGCTAGAGCCCTGCTTTATTCTGAAGTTGTGTATCATCTCTGACTAAGCCCCAGTACTAACGCTGATGTCCTGTTCCCCCAGCTGTTGGACAGGATGTGTATGGCTCTGGGTGGGCGAGTGTCGGAGCAGATCTTCTTCAACAGGATCACCACAGGAGCTCAGGACGACCTCAAAAAAGTCACACAGAGTGCCTACGCACAGGTTTGTCCATTTCCTATTGTACCCCACTCATAAGAATAACTGAAGTCAGGGTTGTCATTGCCAACAAAGAATGAACATTATCATCATCATCGCCCCAGTATTGCACAAAAAAGCATCATGCTTAACCTCAGTTGAGGATGACAAAGCAACAACATTGCACAATTACAGGTGTTAACACTACCTTTTGATCGTTTGTCTTGGTGCCTATTGTTCACATACAGTCATAGGCAGTGCCCTGAGTGATCTTGTACTTACAGTAAGGCCATGTTGATTTGAGTGTATGGATGACATCCTCTGGGAACCCCAAAACTGATGCAAGCGTGCGAATAAAACTAAGTTTGGAAAAAAAAGTTGCTATCATTATACAATCTACGTGGTCATGAAGGTTGAACAAATGACACAGAGTATGGTATGGCGAATAATCTACTCTTCAAATTCATTTCTTTACATTTTCGTCTTTTTCGTTTGATTTTGGCATTCTACGACATTGGTATCATTTTCAATATTTTTTTAAAACTTACGGTATATATTTGCTCATTTTGTTTTGTACGATTTACAGTATGGTTGAAAACATTTTTTTTTTAACAGCTGAAAATTCATGCGATGTCATCCATATAATCAAATCAACATGGCCTTACAGTAATTGCTGATGACTTGCAGATTTTCAATGAAAACCTAATATTCTATATGTTGTTTCCCAACAGATTGTACAGTTTGGCATGAATGAGAAGGTGGGGAACCTGTCGTTTGACCTGCCCCGACAAGGCGAGATGGTGATGGACAAGCCGTACAGCGAGGAGACAGCGCGCCTGATCGACCAGGAGGTGCGCGGGCTGGTGGACATGGCGTACAAGAGGACCGTCAACCTTCTGGTGGAGAAGAAGGCGGATGTGGAAAAGGTCGGTACAACATTTACCTGTCTGTTAACACTGAACGATCATGACCTGTCAGCCGCCATGCTAGACCTAACCTAGAATATGCCGCGACAGTATGGGATCCATATACAAAGAAAGACAAAGATAAACTGGAAAGGGTACAGAACCAAGCTGCAAGATTCTGCACGAACAACTATGAAAGGAGTGCTAGTGTAACGGAAATGAAAAGAAACCTACAGTGGGGGTCGCTGCTAGACAGATGAAGAATGTCCAGACTGTGCATGATGTACAAAATGACTAATAAACTGGTGGACGTACCAATCACTCGGTCTTGGTTGTCCGTCGATGTCGACGAAGACGTACCAACCACTAGTATTTGATAACAGCCCAGAAAAGAACAAAAAACAGTCAAGATTCAGAGTTACCAACCAAGAATTGAGGTGTTCAAAAACTCGTATATCCCCAGAACTGTCGTAGACTGGAACTCGTTGCTTCATTTATGTAGTAATAGTTTGATATTCTGCTATCCTTATCTATTGCTAGCAAAAAACAAATAAATAGAAAAAACACAGCCCTTCCACTGCTTAGAAGTTACTGGAAAGAGTTCTGAAACCATGGTCTATTTCCAGGTTGCCCTGAGGCTGTTAGAGAAGGAGGTGTTAGACAAAGCAGACATGGTGGACCTCCTGGGGAAACGGCCGTACGCAGAGAAGTCCACATACGAAGAGTTTGTGGAAGGAACGGGAAGCATGGAGGAGGACACGTCCCTTCCCGAGGGTCTTAAGGACTGGAACAAGGAGAAGGAGGGAGGGAAGGAGAGAGAACCTGCTGTAGCAACGTTTAGGGACGGGGGGTTATGATCAGTCTGATTGTCCTAAAAGGTGTGAAAACTGTATGTGAGCCATTGTAAGGCCACACCAATTTAATTTGTTGGTTCTCGGATTTTTCAGAAAAAATATGAAGCGACAGAGCGAAAAAAAAACAGGTCTAGGCATCCTTTTATAGCCCCAAATGCAACGATAGGAGCCATGAAGTCAACACAAAAGGCTGGGTTAATATTCAATGAATTTTGAACATTTAACCCAACGACTGCATTAATAGATGGAAAAAAACTGTAACAACTAGGAAGAAAAGGACTTTCCTCAACTGTTGGGGGCAAAAAATGAGCATATCTGAGTTGATTCAGAACCAGAATTTTTTTTTTGCAAATCAGAAAAAAATGAAGAGGCGAATCTGAGAACCAACAAATTAAATTGGTATGGCCTAATAGAACACTGTGATATCTGCCGTGCCCTTTTGTAGCTTTGAAAAGTTGTCTCACAACATTTCTTTATCTCAAACTTACTGGCTTGCAGGAGATGAAATGAGTCAACTATCTTGTCAGGAGTTTGTTAAATTTGAAGCAAAAGTGTACAAAAACCGAGGCACTTGATGACTTCATCTTGTGTGCAGAATAGGATGTACATGTTGTACAAAATATTATGCCGCATAATGTAGAAAGTCAATGGCTATTAAACCCTCAAATGGAATTCCTTTTGATGTCCCTCCTATGTTGATGACTATAGTTGTATGTGTAAGATTTCAAATCTAGACTATAAACAAGTAAAATCTGAGATTTTATACCTCCAGGCTTTTTATTGTGTATCCTTATATGTTGTTTGTTATGAATAGTTGATGGTGTTAAATTTTATGTGTTAGATTTAGTGTTTAATCTACTCATTTCGAGGTCTCATCAAGAGCTACCCATCTACCAAGTATGAAGACAATCCATTTAAGCCTTCACGAGTTGTCGTGTTTACAGACACACACACAGAAGGACAGACACGCACACACACACACACACACACACACACACACAGATACACACACACAAACACACACACACACACACACACACACACACACACACACACACACACACACACACACACACACACACACACACACACACACACACACACACACACACCCCTGAAAACATAACCTTCTTGGCGAAGGTACTGTAATTACATTTTGGACCCCAGATGGCTTTCCATGGCACTGCTGGAGAACTTATTGTTTCGAGATGTTGTGTTCGTCGTAACTAGCCTGCAAAAAATCATGAACGTCAGCTTATCTTTGCAAGAGTTATAATTGTCCTTTTAATTGTCCTCTTCACAAACTAAGTGATGAACACAAAAGGCCCCCTACAGCAAAAATGGAACACTCCCCACGTCTGATTTTTGAGCTTGACCTTGGTCTACCCAGCGGTATCTAGTCTACGAAAAATCATAAACATCCGCTCATCTTGGCACGGCACACTCAAGTTTTTTTCAACTTATATTAATGCCGCCACCAACACGGGACACAATTCTCATTTTCACTTGAGCGAAGTGAGGAAAGTCGTGTATATTTCCCAAGGGCACAAGATCGGTGGCATGTCAGGACTCGAACTCGGGACCTCTTGGTTCCTCCAGCTACCATGAACCTCGGCAATAAGGCCCGAACTCGTTCATCACGTAATTTTTAGATATTCGCCGGTCACCGATCTAGCTAATTGGATAAGGAAGGAAATACGCTTGACTCTAGTGTGATGTTTGGAGTTGGCGACCTTTTGGCGATCAAGAAATACGACCGTTCGGAAAGGCGACGACCGTTCTGAGAAAAGGCGACGACCGTTCGGAAAGGCGACGACCGTTCTGAGAAAAGGCGACGACCGTTCGAAAAGGCGACGACCGTTCTGAGAAAAGGCGACGACCGTTTGGAAAGGCGACGACCGTTCTGAGAAAAGGCGACGACAGTTCGGAAAGGCGACGACCGTTTACGAGACGGAAATTTGCTTCGGCGCCGACTGGTCCACCCGCAGAACTTCGAACAGGTCGGCTGGTGTTCGGGAGCTTCCGTGCCGACCATGTCCCAAACCATTTCAGAACCATTCCCCGAACCAGCCCCGAATGCTAGCCAACCTACTTCCAACCATCCCGACCACTAGTACTAGCCGAAGTCTGTCGAATCCGTCATAACCATTTTCCAACTCTGTCACGAATGAAAAATTGCAGAACCATGGGTCCAGTGGATATCAAAACGAGAAACACTTAAGACAACATTTCGTTCAAAGCATCCAGGACTGTGTAAAGTAAAGGTGTATGGTGTTAAAACCAACTGTAATGCTGTCATCTATTGGAATAAAAAATTAGAGGAATACATTTTTGAGGTTAAATGATATTTAAGAACAATATTTGTAAGGCAAATAATGGTATAATGATACTAGTCTAATACGTTTTAAAGCTTAACAAAGAAAATGCAATTATGATATTAAAATTGAGCTGGTAAGATCACACCGGTACCGGTGTTCAATCTAACTTAATTACTTGATTGGGAAAATGCAAATTATGGTGATTCCGTATCAGGTGGTTAAGACCACGCTGCTGCTCAGAGCAAGATGGCAAGTCACGGTGCTTGGACAGGGAAGAACTCGGTGGTTAAATTCGTCTTTAATGACGAGCTACGTCCGTTTAAGGCGGTGAGTCGCATTTAACATTGTCCTTTATGTTCTCGTGACTATTTGGGCCAAACTTGTTGCAATGAAATGAAGCAAAAACTCAGAATGGCGTGAATTATTTGCGCCGGTGACGATTCCCTGTGTTTAAAGCTGCACTTAGTAAAGCCGCCGTCTGGGGGCGTTTTTTTCATGCCCGCTTTGAGCAAGGAGGCCGTGAACTAACATTAGATAGATAACGCTCGTTTTATGTTCATTGTATAAAACGGTTAACTGAAAGAATATTTGATTTTTTGAAAGTTTGGAGGGTCTGGCCTGGCTCTAGGCCTGGGTAGTCCATGGCACCCAGGCTACCGAAGCTCCACGACTCAAAAACTCAGTACATAAGAGCACAGTACCGATTCATAAATGCCGCAAAAAGCCAGCATGTGCCGGCTTGTCGTATACGTTGCTACGTACTGTCGCAAATTCACAATTCCAGCTTTGTATTCCTGTGATTTAGTAGCATTTTTATTTTTGGCCGGAATTTCTTTTATTCGCCCGCGCCCACTAGTTTGGGGGTCTTCAGAGGATGTCATCCATAAAGATAAAATCAAATCGGTGTGGTCTTAAATATCTTCGCGACGTGGAGGCACCGCCTGTAGTAATCCCGGTCACGTACTTCAGTCCCTCCCAGTGTTTATCTAACCGTGATTTAAACTCATTTACTGCATTCCAATCGCTGAACGCTGAAAGTCTGCCTTCTATGCCTTCCTCTAGCCAAGGGAACTTCGAGTTTACAGCTATGTCCTCTTGACTCTCTGTGCGTTTTGTATGTAAAGAAGGTCTTAAGCTGGACCCCCTCCAACTAGCCTCAACCAAGCCTTTCTACTGGAATGCGGATCGTAGAATTCGGCAGAAAAGAAAGTAAAATTGGCCAGTCAAACCTACAAGGCGGCCAAACTCTCCTGGCAAATATTCTCCTATATACAGCCATCGTAGTTAGTCTGGTAGAGACTAGCCCTCCAACCCCCTTAGTCACCCCCATCAAACTCCTTTCAAGCCGTACCCGGAAATTCAAGCCGTACCCGCTCAAAAATCCTGACCGTACCCGGTAATTCGTGCCGTACCCTGTACTTTTTCGCCGTACCCAATGGCGGATATCGCCCGAGAAGCGGTCTGGAGTGTTCGAGTGGGGCCGAGCGAAGTGTTCTCAAGATTGCAATTGGGCGCGATTTGTACGACGCCACTCGGCAGATAGGTGGTCAGGAATATTTACCAGAGCATAGGCTATATGAGGTTGTGTATCGTTGCCGTACAGGGTATTTAGACACGACTTGTGTCTACTTGAGTGACTACGCACCGGGGCTGAGCGATATCCACCATTGGGTACGGCGAAAAAGTACAGGGTACGGCACGAATTACCGGGTACGGCCAGAATTTTTGAGCGGGTACGGCTTGAATTTCCGGGTACGGCTTGAAAGGAGTTTGATGGGGGTGAGGGAGGGAAGACCTAGAGTCCTCAGTCTCTCCTGGTAGGGTAGGTCTCTGACGTTCAGAGGGAGTTTGGTGTCCCTTCTTTGCACCTTCTTCAGTGCCCGCTAGTCCAGCCGGAAATAAGACCCCCATATGACAGTTGCATATTCCAGATGGACTTATACAGCAGTGGTACTGTCCTTGTGTCAAGGTTGTCGAAAGCTCTCTTAACTGCCAAACCCCCCAGTCTCCAGTTGACTTTGTTGGATAACTTCTGCCACAGGGACTTTCTGCCATCCCTAAAGTTGAGGATGCCTCATCCATGTATTAATTATAAGTGTGGACCTCTCCTTGGTGCTGAACTCACCATCAGAATTGCAGTATTTGCTTGAAGGTTGAGTTTGTTGTCCATCAGGACCCCCATATCCTTTTCTTCCTCTGTTTCCTGAATTTTTTTTACTGTTTTATATGCATTTGGCTACAGCAAGTAATTTTTATGGATGACATCAGCGCGCACATTAATTTTCTCCTGATTTTGGAAAACAAATTAGAAATTTTGTTGCCCTCTGACAGTGGTCAACATCCTGAAAACGGGTAAGATTTCTGTTGCCATCCCGGAACTTGGATCGCACATAAACCTGGAGAGAGGAGACAAGACAAGGCTATGATTTGATTTAATTTTTTTTTCTTTGATGCAGTGATATGTCATGCTAGCTGTGTATATGTGATGTTCCCACATCAAAACCATTTGTACAACGATTGAGTCAAAATTTTAAAATGTAGGAACCTTTTTTTTTGGCCCGCCCTTTTTTTTGCCCGCTCGCATTGGATTTGGAGTCTGTGGAGGATGTCATCCATAAAATTTACTTGCTGTGGCCTTGTGTGTGTCATCTTTTCCCATAATGTTCTGTCAATATGAGATGTGTTTGAATGCTGTCAAACTCTTCAGATGCTCTAATAGCATTCTGTGTACATGTGTTGTTGGTGACTGTTCTGAGGTATTTTATGTGAGATGTACTTCATACGATTTTCCATTGTC